TTAATCCTTCTATCATCTAGTATCTTCCTTAACTTTTTTTTTCAATGTCTCAAGTTTTCATTATAGAAGTCTTTCACTTCCTTAGGTATATTTACTCTCAGGTACTTTATTTTTCATATTTCTAATATTATTTGTGTTTCTATTGGGATGAATGGTGTCTTCCCCCTTTTCCAACTCCATTTATTTGTTTGCTTTGTTTTCTGGGAGTCGTCCTAGAGGAGTATCTTCATTAGGAATTGTACTCCTGGACCTATTAAGGAGTGAGATGCAGTGATGGTCTCCTCGTCTTCAGTGGCAATCCTGACTTGGCTTAGCTGCAGGCAACTCTTTCTGTTATACTTGTGTCCTGTTTAAAAACAAGTAGCACTGGGATGCTTGAGGAATGGTGTGGTTCAGTTTAATTTAGAGCAGAGGGCATCAGCATTTAAGCATTGGAATGAAAGAAGAGGCATGGGAAAGCCAGAAAGAGAAGACACCACAACCACTTTTCAAGATCAGAGAGATGGCACATGCAACAGTCCAGACATAGACCCACAGGAGCCAGATGATTTACAACATGTAAAACAGAGCTACCTGAGCTCTGAAATAGTCAGAATGAGTGACAAGACAGCCATCTGACTATATAGTACATAATGCATCCATAAAAATAAAATAAAAAATAAAAATAATGAGCCAGGCATGGTGGCACACACCTTTAATCCCAGCACTTGGGGGGCAGAGGCAGGTGGATCGATGATCTCTTCTGGCCTCCACAGCATTGAGCACACATGGTGCACTTACATGCAATAAATAAATAAATAAATAAATAAATAAATAAATAATAAATAAAATTTTAGAATAATAAATCAAGGGGCTGGAGAGATGGCTCAGTGGTTAAGAGCACTGACTGCTCTTGCAGAGGACCTGGGTTTGATTCCCAGCATCCCACATGGCGGCTACGAACCGTCCTTAACTCTAGTTCCAGGGGAATCCGAGGCCCTCTTTTGACCCAGTGACTGCTTTTGCAGAGAATCCAGGTTTGATTCCCAGGATCCACCCTGTGGTTAACAACTGTCAGCAACTCCAGTTTCAAGGGAATTCGATGCCCTCTTCTGACCTCTGTGGTCATTGAACAAAACAGGTGCACTTACATACATTCAGGCAATACACTTTATTTTTAAAAAATAAAATATTTTTTAGAAAGAAAAAAGAGGAGGTACTGAGGACATAGTTCTGGGTGGAGTGTTTACCTATCATGCACAAGGCCTAGGTCCAATTTCCTGTACCACAAAAAAAATTTTTACTATATAAAGATTGTTGTATGTGCCAACCAAAATGAACTTGAAAAATTATCCATGCGATCAGTACTTGTGACTTTTCTTGCAAAGCTCTAATCTGTGAACATTCCTTTTTATTATTATTACTATTTTTTAATATTTTATTATTTTTATTTTATATGTATGCATCTATTGCTTGCATGTAAGTGCACCTGTGTTGTGCAATGCCTGCAGAGGTCAGAAGAGGCCGTCGGATCCCCTGGGACTGGAGTTACGGACAGTTGCTAGCTGTCATGTGGGTGCTGGAATTCGAACCTGGGTCTTCTGCTAGAACAACCAGTGTCCTTAACCGCTGAGCCATCTCTCTGCCTCCCCCCTTTTTATTATTTTTATTTTAAGTGTATGAGTGCATTGCTTGCATGTATGTAAGTGCACCTGTGTCATGCAATGCCCACAGAGGTCAGAAGAGGGCATCAGATCCCCTGGAACTGGAGTTATGGACAGTTGTTAGCTGCCATGTGGGTGCTGAGAATTGAACCCAGGTCCTCTGCAAGAGCAGTCAATGCTCTTAACCACAGAGCCATCTTTCCAGCCCCTGTCTGTGATCATTTCTAGGAGCACTACTTGCCATTCAGTTTTCAAACATCATCTTAGTGAGCAAAATACCTGTGGAATGGGACACAGCACTGAGCCTCCCAGTATCCTCCTTTCTCTAAGAGCAGGTGGACTCAACAGTGAAGGAAAATTTATGTGTTCAACTACTTACTTGCTGAGGAAAAGCCCAAGAAAAGTTGGACTTTCTTGCCTTCTTTCATCTAAAAACCAGCCAAATTCTAGTTCTAGACTAGCCTCCAGGACCATGGGATCCCTCAGAAGTAGAGAGCTGTCTGTCCTGAGCTCAGGGAAGGGTAGACCCAGGGTCATAATTCTCTTCAAGGCTGTGTTCGGGTCTTATAAATGGTGATTTTATTTTTAAAAACAGTCTCAGGGCCGGGCGTGGTGGCGCGTGCCTTTAATCCCAGCACTCGGGAGGCAGAGGCAGGTGGATCTCTGTGAGTTCAAGGCCAGCCTGGTCTACATAGTGAGTTCCAGGACAGCTGGGGCTACAGGGCACCCTGTCTCAAAAAGACCAAAAAAAAGTCTCATTGTGTAGCCCAGATAGGCCTGGAACTCACTATATAAACCAGGCTGGGCCTCTAACTCATAGAGATCTGCCTGCCTCTGCCTGCCTAGCACTGGAATTAAAGACATGCACTACCACACCTGGCAAAAGTAAGGGGTCTTATTTATCCTGAAGCTTTAAAGCCTTTTCCTGCTATCAGCAGAACAGCCCAGAAGAGCCTAGTGCAGACCTCCCTCCCTCCTCACCTGCATTTCACTAGGTTGGAACTGGAGAGGATCCTGCAGATCTGCACACCCTGGCATAGCCCTCTGCAGCATGTGCTGCATGGACAGCAGCTGTCTCCCTTCTTTGCATCCTGGGGGTGCTTGTCAGCCCTCCAGTTTCCTGTTCTTTTCTCCAGTTTGCTGGTGTCAAGTCTCGCATTACACAGCCCTCCTTCATGGCCTTCTCAGTCCTTCTTTCCCCTAGGTCCTGCTCCTGGATGTCACTGGACACCACCTCCTCTCATCTGATTGCCCCCACCCAGGCTGCTAGCAGTGTTCTGCAGGCCTAGAGTGTAGCCCCCTGGCCTGACTCTCCTCCCATCTTCCTTTTTCTCTTGGTAGCTCCAGCAATTCTTCTAATCTGAAAGTCCTCCCACAGCCCCTGAACTTCGGGGGTCTGAATCCCGGCCAGCCTGAAGGCCCCCGATACCCTGCTCACTCTACCCCATATACCCTCCAACAATACTGGGCTCCCATGTTTCTGAGCAGGATTTCCTTTGGCAGGAAGGATACTTGGGAAACATTTTTCCAACCATTGGAAGAGTATGGTTTGGGGGTATTTGGGGGTGGTGTTGATCCCAGTTTAACTATTCTGAGAAGGCTTGTTCCCTTCCACATCTGCATGCCCCCACCAAGTCCTTGCTGTACTTTGGGGGTCATGTGCAGTTGAATCAAGGCAGATGGCCAAGGCTAGAGGCAGATGGCCAAGGCTAGGGTCAGACACACACTTCAGTTAATGGAAAAAGAAAATGCAGAGGGTCCAAGTGGGTCTATCTTCTCACTGTGAGCTTTCATGTTGCCTCCTCAACACTTGTAGTTACATCTTTTCCTAAAACACAGTTCTGCAAGCACCCTAGTCATGGTCTTCTCTGAGTCCCTGTCCTCCACATCTGTTTTAGGACTGGGGACTCCCTCTCTAGCCTTAGGGGGACCTCTGTTGTGGTTATAATTCTTTCTTTCTTTCTGCCCTTGTATTTGTCCTTGATTCATGGGTTGGCAGCAGGAATTTCCAAGCCAGCCTGGGGCATGGAAGATTAAAGTGGGAATTACTCCAAGTCTGTTTCAAGGTAATAACAGAATTTGCCTGTTTGAGAAGACTGGCAGAAGCCAATTTCCTCACAGTATGGCGAGGGGGGGGGGCAGTTACAGTGTCCTTTTTGTCTAAGGCCTGAACACAGTCTCTGAGGGTCTGTGTAATGTGGTGCAGAAGGCTATGAGGTAGGGTACTATGAGACTGGCCAGTGCTGAGCTTGAAAGAGCTGGACCTCACACCCCTGCCTGGGGCCCACATATTATACTCTCCTGACCTCAGCCATTCTGTAAGCCTGAGGTCCAGATCTGCCATGGGGAAGCCAGTTCTAGCTATGGGACAATGGGAAACCAAACTCAGGGACTCCTAGTGACACAGAGATACTATACACCACAAAGTTGTCTTCAGCCCCCCCCATCATTCATACAAATAATAATAATAATAAATCAATTATTTTAAAGAACAGAAAAATAGTTCAGGGTTGCTAAGTGTGCTTAGCATACTCAAATCACTGGATAAGGGAGACCTGCACATCATAATTTGCTGACATTTTGGTGTTCCCTAGTCTTCTGAGCTCTACCAGGCTCTGAGGAGGCCTCGTTACTCCATGTTATAGCTAAGAACACTAGGTAGTGACTTAAAGATTGGGCTTCAAGATCCCAAATGTGACAAGAAAACAGTCATAGAAGAGCAGGGGGAGTCAGTAGTGAACTTTTAGTTTACCCAGAAATGACACTCTATATGTGGCTAATAATCATAGAGATGGGCAGGAAATAAACACAATCTTTTATCCACTTAAATAAGTTTATACTAAAATATTAAGATTAAAATTAAATTACGCATTGCTTGATGTTAATAATTTCTGATATAATAAGATTTATATAATTTGCTGTTTATAAGTTACAGATATACAGTAAAATATATACACGAATTTGAAACATAAAATGCTGAGCTAAATGCTATCAAGCAAATTCAAGAAAAGCAGAGGCTTCAATTACAATATTTAGAAGTTTAAGCTGGAAGCATTAAGAGGCAGAGAGGCTACTAAAAGGCACAGTTTTCTTACACATCATCATTAAATAGATATGCTCCAAATATCTATCATATTGATTTACTACTACTTTTTACTCCAATTGTTTCTCAAAAAGATTTGAGAGAACTGTACCATTAACATAGCAACAACATATATAAAAGAGAAACAAATTAAAAGTGAACTAGGGAGGCAGAGACAGGCAGATCTCTGTGAGTTCAAGGCCAGCCTGGTCTACACAGTGAGTTCCAGAACAGCTGGGGCTACCCTGTCTCAAAAAGACCAAAAAAAATTCAACTAGAAACTGGGCATGATGGCATACACCAATGATCCCAGACACTCAGGAGGCTGAGGAAGGATCATGTGAGCTCAGGAGTCTGAGACCAGTCTAAGCAACATAGTAAGATTGTATCTCTAAAAAGTAGTAATAAAGCTGGGTGTGGTGGCGCACGCCTTTAATCCCAGCACTTGGGAGGCAGAGGCAGGCAGATCTCTGTGAGTTCAAGGCCAGCCTAGTCTACATAGTGAGTTCCAGGACAGCTGGGGCTACAGGGAGACTCTGTCTCAAAATGACCAAAATTTAAAAAAAAAAAAAAAAGTAGTAATAAAATAAAGAATAAAATGAATAGAAACTCAAACACACTGCAGGATTCCTTTTACAGCCCCCTCACTGCAGGATTCCTTCTACAGGCCCCTCACCGCAGAACTGGAAGGTATTAAGCCAGAGAGAGAGAAAGAGAATTCAATCCTCTGACAAAACATTTAGATTAGTAAACAAAATCAAGAATTGGACTTTGGTAACAGGAACTGCTGACAAAGCCAGCCACTGCTGGATAAAGGCAAAACAAAAGTGAGGCCAGCCCAGAGAGAGCGCAATTAAAAGGTAACTAAAATACGACCATGTGGCATCTCTTGTAACCTTAGGCTGAAAATCAAAATATAATGGAATCTTTAAAAAAAAAAAAAAAAAAAGACAATAAGCCAGGCATGGAGATACATGATACATGCCTCTAATCCCAGCACTTGGGAGGCTATGGCAGGAGAATTGCTATGAGTTTAGAGCCAGCTTGAGTGACACAGAAAGTACTAGCCAGGACTACATAGCAAAACAATGTCTCAAAACAAGCACAAAATATACAACAAAACAGTGAATAAACATGAACAAGAGTAACTAGGCTCTGCTCATACTTTTTTTTTTAAAAAGTTCATGGTCTTACCAGGTTTGTATAAGAATCTGCCAATGAATCAGGTTGTCTTAATCCCCATGTTACATAAAAAAGGAAAAACGGAAAGAGCTGGGGAGGAGAAAAGAGAAAGTGACTTTCTGAAACATGAGAACAGCAAAAAGTAAGTCAGGTGAACAGAGACAGCATCTGGCAGGGAATGGCCTGACCTCCATTGGTTTGTTCATCGGTAAAACAGATTGGCTCAAACAGGTTGTTAGCCAGGGGGCATACAGCTGTAATTCTAGTACTTGGAGGTGGAGAAATATCAGAAGTTCAAGGCTAGTCTTAGCTACATAATAAATTGAAGACCAGTCTGAGCGACTTGAAACTTCTTCAAAGAAAAAAAAATGTACATATAAACTAGGCATGATATAAACTAGGCATGATGACACATATCTATAAACCCAGCATTTGGAAAGTGGAGGCTGAAGAATCAAGACCAGCCTCTGCTATGGAAGACCCCATTTCAAAACATCAAAACAAGTAAACAAAAAGTGTATGCGCAAAAAAGTTCCTGAAAGTTGGCCTTAAGGAGAATGTGTGCAAAATGATGCTTTAAAAATCAATTGGGCTAGGGTATGCAGGAATGATGGGGAGGGACAGACCCCAGGAAGGTGGCAGATGCAGGATGGCTAAGGACCTGCCTAGTCAAGGTGAAGGCAGAATGGAGATGACAGGGTGAGGGACATTAAAAGGAGGTAGCTCTTTCAGGGGCCCCTGCCTGATGCCCTTGCTGTCCCAAGTGTGTCTTGGCACTCTCTCTTCACTCCCATGGCCTCTGTGGTCCAGCTGGTTGTTCAGTGGGTTCTAGGGCACATGGCTGATGGAAGTAGTCAGGATTCCCACGGTGATTTCTCCAGCCCATCACACCACCCATCATTTGTAATTTCTGCTTTACCACACCCTAAAGAACAAATATGGCTTTCCCATGTTTATTCATCAAAACTCAGCTGCTCACCAAATGAAAGAAACAGCATCTTCAGTGAAGAGTTCACGTGATTCCAGCCATAAACTTTGGAAAACTTCAAAACAGCCCAGACTTCCTCTTTCTCCACTGGCTTTAAGGGGTGGGTGGAAGCAGCACCAAAGAGATCCCGGGGGGCTGGGGCAGAGCTCAGTAGTAGGGCACCGCCTAGAATGTGCAAAGCCTTGTGTTCTACCCATAGTGGGAGTGCAGGGGGGAGACAGAGATTGTTTTCCCTGCCTGGGACAACAAATGTTTTTCAACTGGCCAGCAACTCTCATGGTCTGAGCCCACACTCAGAACGTAGAGGTCTGCGGAGTGATAAATAATCTTTAAGCTCCCCTTGGTGAGTAGGTGATGCTGGAAGCTCTCAGAACTACCTGAGACAGCTTAGGGCTCAGAGCCTGGCCACACACTCTGCCTTATAATCACCAGGGAAGCTTCAGAAACACACCATAGAATGCAACTCCGAGGCTGTGGATAGAATTGATGCAGGTGGAGCAAAAGCAATGGCATCTTTTAACCAACTCTCAGATGAAGTCCAGTTGGCAGCAGAGAAAGAAGAGAGCACAAAGGAAACAGATGACACTGATACGGCAGTCCAGTGGATACATGTGCGTCTGGTCTGGAGGAAACATGCCTCAAGGTCACACAAGTAGAGGGAGACAGTACTAGGACTTGAACCCAGACCTTCTGCTTGAACCATGGTTTCTTCTTGCAAATCACCTGTTGTCCATGTCTGGACACCAGGGAGCAAAGAGAGAAGGCTACACAACCAATGCACAGAGAAGAAATGGCACGCTGTGGTGCTGGGAGCACTGAGTCCGAGAAGTTTCACCAAGAGGGTGCCAATCACAGTCATCACATATCTTCTGGCCACAACAAAACCAAACCTCCACAGCTCCAACAGAGCCACCTAACAAAAATCCCCCCTCCTGCTAATGAGAGCTTATGAGGCCATACACAGGAATCTGCCACACTCAGTTCAAAATCAGTCCTTCCAACTCTTTCTGCCCTGTTAAGCAGGTTATACATCCCTGATGCCAGATCAAGACAGAGAACTCTGTTGCCTCTGTCTACTTTAGAATTCATTTTCTTCAGCTGACTCCAAATGTGAGTGGGTCTCTCTCCATTCTGAAAGTGCCTGACTTCGGGCTGATGTAGAGTTAATCTCACACTTTCTTGGGTTCAAGTCAACCCTCTGCCTCTTGACATTTATTCTCTTTACAGACTCTAGGAAAAGCAGAAAGCACAATTAAAGCCCAGAGGCCTGGGAATCACACGTGTGAATGAGGAAATTGAAAGCCATCTCTCTTTGCCAGCAGTCCTGCCTTGCACCCTAGGGAGCTACTTGGAGGTGGTGAGCCTTGGGGTGGGGGTGGGGGGCCAGCAAGGGGCGATCCCGTTCACAGGCTATTCGGAAGGTCCCAGTGGCAGGGTTTCCATCCGGCACTGGGGTCAAGGAAGCCGCGGGGGTTGGGGGGCTGTTAGAGACCAAGCCACGTGCTCAAGGCTCACTCTGGCCGCAGGGCTCCCGTTTCTACAGCTTCTCCCCAGCATGGACCTTCTGGTGGCGGATCAGGTGGGAGCTACCCCTGAAGGACTTGCCACAAAGATTACACACATAGGGCTTCTCCCGCGTGTGGGTTTTATAGTGCTCGATGAGTGCAGATCTGTGTCGGAAGGCCTTGCCGCACTCGCAGGCATAAGGCTTCTTGCCTGTGTGAATGCGCTGGTGCTGAATGAGAGCAGAGCTGTGGCAGAAGGCCTTCCCGCACTGACAGCACTCGTAGGGCTTCTCCCCGGTGTGGATGCGCTGGTGCTCGATGAGTGAGGAGCTCTGGCTGAAGGCCTTGCTGCACTGGTGACACGTGTAGGGCTTCTCGCCTGTGTGGGTCTTGCGATGCTCGATGAGGTTGGAGCTCTGGCTGAAGGCCTTCCCGCACTCCTCGCACTTGTAAGGCTTCTTCCCCGTGTGGATCCGCTGGTGTCGGATCAGGTGGGACCTGTGGCAGAAGGCTTTCCCACAGAGCTCACATTCATGGGGCTTCTTCAGGGTGTGGATCTTCCGGTGCTGGCTCAAGCCCGAGCTCTGGTTGAAGGCCTTGCCGCACTCCTTGCACTGATAAGGTCTCTCGCCCGTGTGGATTCTCTCATGTTTCCGGAGGCTGGAGCTGCGGCTGAAATCTTTCCCACATTCCCTGCACTCATAGGGCCTCTTCCCAGTGTGGATTTTCTGGTGTTGCGTAAGGGCTGAGCTCTGGCGGAAGGCCTTCCCGCACTCCTGACACTCGTAGGGCTTCTCCCCAGTGTGGATGATCTGATGACGGAGCAGATGGGAGCTCTGGCTGAAGGCTTTCCCGCACTGGTAGCACTCGTAGGGCTTCTCCCCGGTGTGGATGACCAGGTGCCGAAGCAGGTGCGAGCTCTGGGTGAATGCCTTCCCACACTCATGGCACGCATAGGGCTTGGCTGGCTGTGAGCTTCTGTGGGCAGCATTAAGTCCTGAGCCCTCCCTGCCTGCTTCCTCACCATCATGTGGACTGGACTCTTCCCTCTCTTGAATAATCTGATACACGCTGACGTCAGATTTCCGCAAAAAGGTTGGGCCGAATAGCTCCTCTCCCTCAGGTCTGATTCCTGGTGAGATAACCTGATGCTGAATAGGGCTTGAGCACAGACTGAAATTTCCTTCGTAATCCTCACGCTCTGTGTCTTGCTCACCAAGAGGGACCTCCTTATAGATGACAGCCATTTGCTCCAGACCTCTTTCCTGAAAGAAAGGGTCCCCCAGGTCCTCCCCTGGAAAAAGTTTGTCCTCAAACACAAAGGTCTCACTAAACTTCATTGCTGGGGAAACCTCCATTGTGAATTTATCACCCCGGTAGTTATAGGTCTTTAAAATACTCTTCTTTGGTGAAGTGTGGTGGGGCATGCCTATGATACCAGCACTCAGGAAGACAGGCAGGTAGATCTCTGTGACTTCAAGGCCAGCCTGATCTACATAACAAGTTCCAGGTCAGCCAGAGCTATATAGTGAGACCCTGTCTCAAAACCAAAAAGGAAAAAAAAAAAAAAAACAAAAAAAAACTGTCCTTTTGGCTGTAAGTATTGTTCTCACAACCTGAAACAAAACAAGGAATATTGGTAAGTCAGCAAGTCAAGTAGTTCATTGGTACCTCATTCAGATGCTAAAAGAAACAACCAACCAACCAAATGGGTCTAAGACACACACAATGTTGCCCTAAATGAACTAGAGCTGGCTTTCACTTTCACGGAGGACACACACACACACACACACACACCTCAAGGCCCTCATCATAGTGTCTGAAGTTCTTAGGCTAAGGGTGTTCACAAAGATGAACTAAACCAAGAAGTAAAGCAACATCTGGCTACTGGATGGTACTGGGGGTGGGTTCTGTTGGAAAAGAGTATGTCCCTCCTACACTAGGCAAACTGCACTGCCACCAGCCAGGTCCCCAGCCAGAAACCTGCAAATCAACCTGGACCCTCACATTCTCTCCCCACACAGCCCACCTTCGCTGAGGTCACATGCAAAGGACCTTTACCCTTACATCTCACTGACAGGCAGCTCAGGCCTCAGTGCAGCTACCCGGGATCTGTTCAGTACTCTTCTAACCGTCTACCCCCATTTGCTACAAGCCTCTCTGGTCCATTCTCTACACTAGACCAGAGTCAAGAACCTAGAACACAGTCCTGAATATGTCATTTACCTCCTTAGGGATTGTTCAACAACCCAACTCCTTCACAAAGCCCTTCATATCCAGCCCTCTAGCCATCTCCCATCTCTGACATACCCAGATCAACAACTTAATGCACAGCTTTTGTCTTCTAAGAGACCCTTCACTAGTCTAGACCATGCTGGTCCTTCCACACTCATCTGAACGTCCCCTCTTAACTGTACTCTTGACCATTTCAGGCATGTTCCCTTGGTGAACGGGTATGAAGTATGCCCAGTCACAGCCCTGCCACCTGTTAAGTTTACAAGACAGTCCCTTTCCTCTGCCAGTAGCCTTCAGCTCCCTAAGGGCAAGTTCTGCCTAAATACTAAGCCTCCTCACTGTAGCATCTCCAGCTCCAGCACTGAGCATTAGCCCAGTGCTCACAGTTGAATAAAGGACCAAAGGGTGGAAAAGCACTTGTGTTACCACTGATTGTCATGTGCTTTTCCCTTTTTTGACAAAGAATTCTTTATTCAAATAATTGTCTGGCAGATGAACAACTGAAGCAGACAGAAGTAAAACTGCCCCAGCTAGAAGGGTATTCAAGCAGGGACAAGGAAGGAGACTAGAGCCTCTATTTGGCCCTCCATTCCTCTGTGGTGACCTCTGAGGAAGCCCCTTCCCACCCCACTAAGAAATCTCAGTGCTAGATAAAGAAGAACTCCTCGGGTGCCTGATAATAGTGACAGTTCATACTATTGAACACTCGTTACCAACTGAGCAGCACTAGAACTTTTACAAGCATATCTCGTGTAGTCCTCTCAACTACATCAGAGGGCATTGCCTATCCCTGAAGCTTAGAGGGTAACGGCTCATATATCTCAGAATAGACATAAATTAGAACAGATGTGATGGAACTCACTGTAATGGGTAAATGTTTTGTGGTTTTTTGTTTGTTTGTTTGTTTGTTTTGGTCTTTTTGAGACAGGGTCTCCTATAGTCCCAGCTGGCCTGGAACTCCCTATGTAGACCAGGGTGGTCTTTACCTCACAGAGATCCGCCTGCTTTTGCCTCCCAAGGTGTGCGGCACCACACCTGGCATGTGCAAATGTTTTTTTCTTTAACTCTTTAAGCCAGTAGAAAGGCCAGGTGTGGAAAAAAAAAAGGCAGAGAACTAAAATAGTCTTTAAAATTATTATTATATTATTTTGGTCTGTTTGAGACAGGGTCTCCCTGTAGCCACAGGCAGCCTGGAATTCACTAGGGAGACTAGGCTGGCCTCAATTGCACAGAAATCGACCCACCTCTGCCTCCCAAGGGCAGGGATTAAAGGTGTAGACCACAATACCTGGTGTCTTTAAAATTCTTTGATCAGGATGGGCATGTAACTCAGTGACAACTTGCCTAAAGTGCAAAAAGATCCTAGGTTCCATTTCCAACACCAGGTGGGTGATGGAGGAAAGTTTAGTGGCTTTAAACATCTCAACTCCTTACTCTCCAACAGCATACCATCTCCAACCCCTCTCATTAAGCACATGATGTTTTTCAACTTTATCAAACCCAATAAACCCCCATTTTTATCCAGGCTTTCTTCTTGTTCTACCCTTTCTCTCTGGCTTATATTCTTTCTCCACAGTGGGTCCAACTATAGGCCCCCTCAACTCTGGCCAGCATCACATTCTTCACCTCCCTTGTCCATAGACAATCACCAGCTAACTCTCAGCACCTCCGCTAATTCCTAAGATGATTGTGTGTGTGTGTGTGTGTGTGTGTGTCTGTCTGTCTGTCTGTCTGTCTGAATTGTTGTAGCTACTGCTGCTATTGTTGCTTGGGGTTTTGTTTGTTGTTGTTGTTTTGAGATAGTCTCCTATATTCCAGACTGGCCTCAAAGTAGCTGAAAATGACCTTGAATTTCTGATCCTCCTGCCTCTACCTCCCCCAAGTGCAAGGATTTTACAAGTGTGGGACACCACTCTGAGTTTATACTCCTAAAATGTTAAATGTTACCCAGGAAAATCACACAACTACACAGCACCAAGCATATTCCAAGTTTCCAAATTCAGCTGGAACCTCAGTTCCTGGCATTGTCATCCGATGACAGACCTTCTTATTGTCAAGTCTCTTTCTTCTCGATCCATACATCCCCACCCCAACTGGCTTTGCTCACCAAACCACCACCAACCCAACATTTCACGGGGAACAAGTTGCCAGCCTGGGGTTCCTGCCATGAACTCAGTTTGTTTAGCTTTCAGAGTTGAGCTTTTCCTTAGCTACCAAAGCTTAAAAATAAGTAGATTTCTGGCTTTGTCTTGAAAACGTGGAAGCTGTGACAATGAGTCATTCTTCACTAACAGACTTTACCTGCTTGAGTCCCTGAAATCTTTAAGCCTAGCCACAATTTATTCCCCTGGTCTCTGAAAGTTTTCTTCCCGGTGTTCATGCCACCTGACCCCTTCTCCGTATCTGGGGACCGCAATTCTTCCTCCACCCACCTGTTAAAATCCTGGTGTTTCCAAATAAAAAGTTGTCAATCCTTTTTCTATTCCCGGCAATGTGTTAAATGTTTCCAGACTGAAAATCCCAAGGTCTGGAAGCCCATGCTTCCCACCTCTCTCGGGGCCTTCTCCAACTCCCTGTGCATCCACAGGCTGCCAGGGCCTGGGCACAGGACACACCCTCAGTGCGGTCATGGGGTGGCAGGTGGAGCCCGGCGAGTGGCCACAGACCCACCCACCCTGCGGTGACGCAGCGCCCCTACAGGCTTCGCACCATCTGGGGACACCCACACCCGTGGGCAGGCGGTGCGACAGGTGGTCAGGTGGAGTAGAGATGCCAGAGCAGGCGCAGGGCGACTCACCTGGGCCGGGGCTGGCCGGGGCGGGGCACCTGGCTGGGGCGGGGCCACGGGCGGGGCGGAGCCGCACCTGAGCAGTTCCCACCCGGAGCCGTCCTGCCTTCGCGCCTCAGCAGCTGCTGACGCAGAGCCCCCGGACCGCAGCGCGCCTGGAGCCCCGCCCCCTGCCCGCGGGCACTTCCGGGACCACTCTAGGCCTGGTGGAGGTCTCAGCATCTCGGTGTTCCTGCCGCGCCGGCCCGGCTGCGCGTGGCCGGATCTCTGGGTGGTAGTTGAGATCAGGGTATCTTTTTGGTCGTCCTGAGGTCCGGAAAGGCAGGCCCCTCAGGTACCTGCCGCACCCGCCCCGAGGCGGGGTTCAAAAGCCTACTTTCAAGGGAAGCCTGGTCCTGGCTGCCCCGCCCCCACACAGACTGCATTGAGATGAAGGCGGGGTGAAAGGGGACGTGCTAGGAGGTAGACAGTATAGGCCGGACCTCACCAGACCCCGGATCCCCCAACTCTGCATCTGGTTGCTGACCTCCAGGCATGAGGCACTTTCAGGGACACCAGGAAGGAAGCTGGATATGTTAGGCTGTTTTGTGTTTCTTTTTCTTTTTTCTGCCCTAGGAATTGAACTCAGAGCCTCCATATGCTAGGCAAATACTGTACCACAGATCCAGGCCCCCAAGCCCAGGAATGTTTTTGCTGTTTTGGTTTGGTTTTGAGACACTCTCACTATGTAGCCCAGACTTCCTTGGAATTTGCTGTGTATACCAGGCTATCCTGAAACTCAGCAGCTTGCCTCTGCTTTCTGAGCATTGGGGCTAAAAGTATACACCACCATACTCGGCTCAAGGATGTTTTTGAATGCACACAGTCCCCAGCACCAGACACCGAGTTCTGATTCTAATGGCAAGACCTGTCCCTCCAGTCAATGCCCCACCCCTGACTTCCCAGGTGTGGCTACCCATCTGCGGGAAAGCCTCTCCCAGGAGACCAGTAGAACACATTGTTTCTACTGGGTGGGATGCTACCCCAATCTACCCACTGTCATCAGTACCCTCAACCCTGGCCTTCAGAGTCCTCCAGACCTCAAGTCATCACATACCTACCTCCTGCCCATCAAGGATCAGTGGGGACTTGCATGAGAATTCAGGGGAGAGGCAAGGGCTGCCCCTCCCCAAGCCAGCAGCATGGACTCCATGGGGCCCAGCCACCCCAGACCCATGAGCGTTGGACCGCAGTCAGCCATGCAGAGCTTTGGGTGGCAAGGGCTGGTTCCCTTTTCTCTACCTTTAGTGCTTCGGGTCATGAGAAGGTCAGGCACCACGCTAAACCCCTGGGGAATAAGTGCAAGGGTAGGCCACACGTTCCCTAAGGGTCTCAAGTGTTTCCTCTTTGACAGCATCATCAGAATCCCAACTTCCAAGTACTCAGATTGACTAGTCACTTTTCCAGCTAGGATCTCAAGATCATCATAATGAATGTGGTTTACATGTTGAATGTTATTAACTCATTTTACAGAGGAAGGAACGCAAAGCTTAGAGAAAGGGCCCAAGGTCAAAGGCAAAAGTAGGCAGAGAGGAGACATTCATCCCATACCCCAGCCTTAGGGATCAAAGCTATACGCGACAGAGCAATAGTAATCTGCATCATCCTCAGGCTGCACAGGACTGATGGTCAGCACACAGGCATTGTGGGCCACATCTGTGGTAGCTGAGAATCGGTCAGGAATGTCATCCGGCCGATAGTGGCTCTCTTCTGAGTGGTAGTAGAGAAGGTGGGGGGCGCTGCCTGGCCGCTGCTGATACCAAGATACACCCAAGACCCCAATGGTGGCATGCTGGGGCTTGATTGTGCAGGAGAGTTGAGCCACTTGACCCGGCAACACCAGCAGTCCATCTCGCTGAGCCATGGCTGCCTGCAAAACTGAAAGATACAGAACCACTGAGGCCCAGCGTGGGCCCCTTCCTTCCTATCCTGCTACGAATAATCAGACACTAAAGAGACTCCCACTCCCAAAAGTTTCATAGCCCAGGACCATGGGATTGGCCCTGGATGGAGCATGGGGGTTAGGGCAGCTGGTCCATGAGACTTAGAATGCTTCTCGACATCTCCATTTTCCTCTGTGAATGAGGGCTTTGGAGTTTGTGAGCCCCTAAATTTAGTATTAATGGCATGCCTTCAATAATCCATGTTCAGTCGAGAACCTAGTATTCAAGCATGAGACTGGAGCCCTCTGGGTCCCCTTAGTCTGCACCCTACCCCTTTTTTCATTGGACCCTTGTCCCTCAATCTAATGGCTCTTTCAAACCCTGACTACAGGCTAACTGCCCCCTGGAACTCCCTGGGACATATAACTATCATCTGAGTTTCAGGCTGCTGGTCACAGGGTATTGCCTTGGAGGCTCTGTCGGGTAGGTACCCACACCAACTTCTGCTCTGAGAGACTAGGATGACCAGTTGTAGTCTCTCCTCAGAGACTCCAAAGGGTCAGAGTCCAAAAAGACCCACAGATGGGGCAACCAAGGCCCACACAGGGAAGTGACCTTGCCCCAGGTCAGGGACAGAGCTGCCTGGTACCAGGTCTCCTCTCTACCTCCATGCCTCTCCCAGGACCCAGCCCATTATCCCTATTGATTTGCTTCTTTGCAGAGGTCTTCTTGAGCCAGTGCCAACTCCCACCTTTTTTCCAGTTGAATCTCACCTGCCAGGAAGGTTCCCATCAGGAGGAGGGGCTGGCATCCAGGGTGGGCCATGGCCAGAAGTGAGGAGGCTGCTCCAGAGTTGTTCTGCTGTGCTTACAGTTACAGAACTGGAGAGACCACTGGACCACAATAAGACATGCAAATCAGCTCACTGACTGAAGAGGGAAGGGTATGTCTGGGGCCAGTGCCAGGCCCTGTCTACCAAATGGTAGGGTCCTGACACACAGTGGGCGATCAGAAGCTCAGAAGCCTTCACAGAGGTTGGAATTGGCTATTTTTTTCAACACCAAGGATTGAACTCAAGATCTCAAACACAATAGGCAAGTGCTGTACCACTGAACTACTTCCCCAGCCCCAGAACCTCCTTTTTATTTGCGGTACAACTGGTATATAGGAAAGCACACAATTTTTTTTTTTTTTTGGTCATTTTGAGACAGCCCAGCTGGCCTGGAACTCACTATGTAGACCAGGCTGGCCTTGAACTCACAGAGATCCACCTGCCTCTGCCTCCTTAGTGCTGGGACTAAAGGTTTGCGCCACCACCATGCCCAGCTGGGAAAGTACAGAATCTTAAACAGTAAATAAACACACACATTCCTATACTCCTTTCTAGCCACTAACAATATCTGCCCCTGCTATAATTTGGATCTAGAATGTTCCCCATAAGCTCCCATGTGTCCGCATCAGCTTGGCACTGTTGACATTCAGGACCTATTGGGAAGTCTTTAGATCAATAAGAATGTGCTCATAAAGGGATAGTGGGGTCCCAGATTCTTCTCTCTTACTATCTGGCCTGTCATGAGGTGAGTGTCTTTGCTCCATCTCATCCTTTCTACTGTGATATGCTCTCTGCCTCAGACCCAAAAGCAATGGTGTCAATTGACCACGGACTGAAACCCCCAAACCTGTGAGCTGAAATAAACCTTTCCTCTTTGTAAGTTGTTTATCTCAGGTATTTTTTACAGTGATGGAAAACTGACTAACACAACCCCCAAAGGAACCATCATTCTGACTTCTGTCACCTTAGATTAATTTTGTTTATTGTAGAAATTCTATAAATGGACTCTGTGTGTGTGTATGTGAGTGTGTGTGTGTGTGTGTGTGTGTGTGTGTGTGTGTACACACATGCCTGTTTCTTTTGTCCAACTTTAAGAATCATCCATGTGGGGCTGGAGAGATGGCTCAGTGGTTAAGAGCACTGGCTGTTCTTGCAGACGACCTGGGTTCTGTTCCCAGCACCCATATGGCAGCTAACAATCATCTCTAACTCCAGTTCCAGGGAAGCTGATGCACCCTACTGACCTCCACGGGCATTGCATGACATTGGTGCACTTACATGCAGGCAAAACACTTATACACATAAAATAAAAACAAACAAAATTTAATCATCTATGTGGGCAGCAATATATAGTTTATTCTCACAGCTATGTGTAATTTATTGTGCACACACATTACAATTAGTTTACCCATTCTCCTGTTATTTAAACTCCTGAGAATGTTCCAGTCTTTGACCATGATCAGTAAAATTCACAAACATTTCTGTCAACGCTGGGTTTGTTTGATTGGTTAGTTGGTTGATTTTAGTTTTTTGCAACACAAGCTCATGTAGAGCAGGCTGGCCTTAAACTTACAAAGTAGCTGAGGCTTGTCTTCAACTTCTCCTCCTGCCTCTATTTCCCAAGGGTTCCACTATGCTTAGTCTGTCAATGTCTTTTTTTTTTTTTTCTAGAGAGACTTACAGGAGTCCAATTGCCAGGTGGTAGGGCATGTGTACATTTAACTTTAGCACACAGTGTCATGGTTCCCAAGGCAGTTGTACCAGCCTTTACTACTACCAGGAATTACTAGGGAATTCCAGCGATTTCATATCTTGCCAGCCTTGACATTGCCAGTATTTTTAATTTGCCAGAGAACTGAGGTGGTTTTCAACTTGAGTTCAATTCCCAGCTTACGAGTTTTTTCATTTTGGTTTTGGATGGGAGTTTTATTTGAGACAAAGTTTCAGGTTTCAGTTTCAGGTTGGTCTGAAATTCACTATGTAGCCCAGGCTAACTTCAAACTTACATCAGTTCTCCTGCCTCAGTCTCCCAAGTACTGGGATTATAGGCATGGACCACCATGCCTGGCTCAGCTCATGATTTTAACTGTGTGACTTCAGCCAAGTTACTTCCCCTCTGTGTGCCTTAGTTTCCCTGTTGGAAAATGGCAGGAGCACATTGGCAGCTGGAAGATAGCGAAGATGCAGTGCTAGAATGAACTGGCACAGTATTGGGTGCCCTCCATTTCTTAAGTGTGTAGTCTAGATTTGGAATGTCTTCCAAAAGCCCCATGTGTTGAAGGCTTGGTCCTCTGATTGGCTCTATTGCAAGGTGGTGGAAACTTTAAGAGATGGGTGCTATAGAGAAATCTTCAAACAATGTGGAGATGCCCTTGAAAGGGACAGTGGGGATCTACTGCCTCTCTCTCTCTCTCTCTCTCTCTCTCTCTCTCTCTCTCTCTCTCTCTCCCTTGCCTGGTCTCCTTGAGGTAAGCATTGTCTCTGCCTCACACTCTCACCATGGTATGCTTCCTTACCACAGGCCCCAAAAGTAACAGAGCCAACTAACCATGGACAGAAACCTCCAAAACTATAAGACAAAATAATCTTTTTCTTTTTAGTTGATTGTTACAGCAATGGAATGTGGACCTATTGGGAAGTCTTTAGATCAATAAGCATGTCTTTTATTTTCAGTATTCTTGGGGCCTTGTTGACTTTGGAAGGACTGCCCTTTCAAAGTCACCCAATCCTTAGAGATAGTAACTACTGTGTATTTTTCAAATGCAAACTGTGATGGTTAACTGTCAACGTGACATAACCTAGAATCATTTGGGAAGAGAATCTCAATGAAGAATTGTCTATATGTCTGTGTGGGGTCATCTTACTTGAGTTCAATGATGTGGGAAGACCCAGCACAGGCTAGGCAGCACCGTTCCCTAGGCAGGAGCCCTGAACTGTGTAAGCGTGGAGAGACTGAGCTGAGCACAAGCAAGTGAGTATGTGTGTATTCATTTCAGTATGATCTTGACTGTGCTGTGATATGACTAGCTGTTTGAAGGTCTGCCTTGACTTCCCTACAATGATGTATTGTAACCTGGAATTGTAAGCTGAAATAAACTCCTTTCTCCCCAAAATTGTTTTTGGTCAGGGTATTTTATCACAGCAACAGAAATGAAACCAGGACTTCAACCAATCAACCCCAAACCCACACCCCAATTTTCTCCATTACTTGGCTCTCACACTCCAACTATGTTAATCACTCAGGACCATTTACCAAACTAGTATGAACAAGCCGTTTGTCCCAGAGAACACTGAAGTTATTCAAACTAACCAGTCCTAAATCTGCCTGCCCTGCCTTGCCCAATCCTTCTTACAGACTATTAAAAAAATTCATGCCCACAGTTCTTTTCCCTCTACGTCCTGACCATCCACGTCCTTCCCTGTGTGGTCCCATTGGCATGGGCGCCTCCTCTTAGGAACTGTAATAAGTCATCTTTTCAAGGACAACAGTTTTATCAGTTGGCCTTACCATCCTTGAATCACAATTAAAACATTATGCTTATTAACTGATAGACTCCAGAGCTCCCTTGGGAGAAATTACAAAGCTCTTCATGGGTCCCACTCCACTTCTGACACCTCCTAGGGATCTCCATGACACTCAAAATAAAAGACCCCCATCTTCAGAGACACCAAAGACAAATCCCTTGGACAGCAGAGCTTTAGGCTCCAGTCCTACAGCTGCCTTTCTGTCCAGAGCCTGGCTCTAGGCACTATTGTGTCCTCACAGAGAGCACCCTGAGCTGTAGGATGTAGGTCCCTACAGAATGTCTCGAATAATTTTGGGAAATACTGCCTACTTCCATAGCACTGTTCTGAGTGCTTGCTACATGCTGAGAACTGAGATGGCTTTGAAAATATGACATTTAAGATGAACATTGTGGCACCCACCTCTAATGCCAACACTTGTCAAGCTGTAGCAGGAAGATCATGAGTTCAAGGCCAGCCTAGGCCACATGGTTAAATACTGATTTAGACAACAGCAATAACAAAAAAGTGTTGTGAAAACCCTCATAACAGCCCTGCTAACTCATGGTTATATATTCCTTCTTTTTTAAAGAATTATTTTTAATCATGTGTGTGCACATGTGTACACATCTGTGTGAGTGCCTATAGAGGCCAGAAGCATTAGATCCCCTGTAGCTGGACTCAGGCAGTTGTGAGCCACCCTACATGGGTTCTGGGAATCAAACTCAGGTCCTCCGGAAGAAGAGTATGTGCTCCTAACTACTGAGCCATCTCTCCAGCCCCATGTGTAGTCCTTTTACAAACGGAAGCAGTGAGGCCAACCAAATGAAAGTGTTTATTCAGGGGCAAAATGGGTCAATGCTGAGCTGTGTGGAGGACCCAGACTCCCTCCAACCTAGCCATCCAGAAATGTGCCTGCAGAAGGCAGAACAGACAGCCTAATCACACCGGCACCCTTCACACTCTGTCTGGAGGAGTCTAGGGGAGGCTCATGGAGAGAAGGCAGAACACAAAGCAGAGCGAAGGGGAGGCAGTGTAAGAGAGGGAAAGAGAAAGAATAAGGAAGAGAGGAAAGAGAGGGAAAAGCTCGTGAATAAACATAGGTATAAGCCATAGGTGAAGTGTGAGAACACAGACCGGAGAAGGAGACGGGGAGAAGGGGAAGAAGGAGAGGTGGGCATAAATATAAGACAGAGAACGATGGCCGGAGCTGGGGAGAGAGCTGGGGGTACAGCCTAGTGATAGAGCACTTACTTAGCGTGTTTGAGGCCCTGGATAGAAAGACATAGAAAAGGGGCTGGAGAGACGGCTCAGCAGTTAAGAACATTGACTGTTCTTACAGAAGACCTGGGTTTGAATCCCAGCACCCACATGGCAGCTAACAACTGTCCATAACTCCAGTTCCAGGAAATCTGACAGCCTCTTCTGTCCTTCATGGACATTGCACAACAGGTGCATTTACCTATATGCAGGCAATACACGAATACCCATAAATAAAAATAATAAATAAAATATTTTTAAAAAGACATAGCGAGGATGTCAGGGTCTAGGCCCACTATATGAATGTAAATAACAAAGAGGGACTCTCTAAAGATTAAACTTATTTGGGTGCCGGGCGTGGTGGTGCACACCTTTATGCCAGCACTCAGGAGGCAGAGTGGTGAGTTCTGTGAGTTCAAGGTCAGTCTGGTCTACATAGTGAGTTCCAGGCCAACTGGGGCTACAGGGAGACCCTGTCTCGAAAAGATAAAAAAAAAAAAATTAAAGTGGAACTAGAATAACATGGCAGCAGGACTCAGGTGCCACACACATGGCATAGCAAACTACGAGCTATTCAAGGCATTTGACGCAGGAGGACGTTTTTAAAGGTGAAATGGATTACATAAAGCATTTTGAAACAATAATCCTTGCCTACAAGGATCAATAACAAAAGTGACCTCAGTCCAAGATTAAACATACAGTTGCTGGGTGGACGGCCTTGCAGAAATATTTCTGTGTAAGGCTGTGGTGGCCTTTGTACAAGGTTGTGGTTGTGACAGAGTCTTTTGTGGTTAGTTCTTGTAATCAGACATACATGCATAAAATCCCCTCTTGGAACTTCCCAGCTTTACTTATTTGGAGTGGGGAGATGGTGGTTAAAGCTTGGCAAAGGTGACGCCAGTTTTTATTCTTTCACAGTTTCAAAGGGACAACAAAGGTGCACTATGGACAAGGGTGAATGGAAATGTTCTGTAGCCTGGATGTGATGATTACAGAGATTTGTCAACACTTGAAAACAAGGCAAGGATGGCTCAGCAAATAAAGGCACTTGCCACCAAGCCCGATGGCCTAAGTTCAATTCCTTGGTGGAATTCTTATGGTGGAAAGAAAAAACCAACTCTTACAACTTGTCCTTTGACCTCCACATTACATGTGCTTGTGTGTGTGTGTGTGTGTGTGTGTGTGTGTGCGTGTGTGTGTACACAAAATAGGTAAGTATAAAATTCTGTAGAGGGTGATGTAAATTGTACCTCCGAAAGTGTGGCTAACAAGAAAAGAAAGGGGAAAAAAACCAACAACAACAAAAACAAGAACAGAAGAAAATGCTGGAAGGCTGGGAGAGAGGAAGAAAGCAGAGAGGGAAAGAAAGCCACACAGGAAGAGGACACTGGGTGGCTAGGACCTGCAGAGGATGTTGAGGACCCTGACCCAGGACCACCCACCTGGCATTCCTCACATGCACAGTTGGGGAATCAGAGCCCAGTTAGAAGGGAAGGATGGGGGCGGTGAAAGATCCATGAAAGAACCCTGGCAGCCTGGGCGCTGTCCTTGGTAGGGGCTATAGTCTCTGAAGCAGTGTTTGGGCATTCTTGGGCCCACAGTCTGGAGCCCCTACTATGAACCTGACAGGAGCCCCGCCTCAGGGCCCTCCCCAATAGGTTCTGTTACCAGGAAACTGGGAGCAAGGCATTTCCTGCCTAGATGTCTTAGCAGCTCCTACTGCCATGGAGACCACTGGGAGCCGGAGGAGCTGCTGGGCCTAGCAAGCAGCAGAAGGAAGAGGAGGCCAGTGGTCTTGGACTAGCTAAGCAAGTGAATAAAAGCCAAGACCAGAGCCAGGGGAAGCTGGGGAGTTGGAGCTGTGTGTATGGGGGGTGGGAGGTGAAAGGGAGATGAAAGACCCATGTGTCTCCTTCTTGCTGCGGCCATGTTTATCACCGTGACGTTTGGAGGTAAGCAGGGACCCATGTCCCAGAAGGTGGGGGGCCACACTTGGAGTTGTGCCTCCCTCCGCCCAGGACAAGGTATATAGGAAGGAGAGGTACAGCCAAGGAGGTGGGGTGGGAACTTGAGAAAGCAACCCTGTGAGGAGGCAAAGAGAGAGCCTTGGAAATTCCTTGAACTGGAAACTGCTGGGTCCTGCTTGTATAATCCACACAGGTTCATCCCAGCAAACACCTGCTTCCCTACACAGGTAGAAATCTGTCTTCAACTGCACTACCTCTTCACCATCAGTCAGTAGTGGTCCTCATGTATCAGCTTGCACCTACAGGGAGGCCGGGTATAGGAGGTGGGCCCAGCCCTGGAAGCAGTTTAGCTCCTTATGGTTTCCATGGCAGTGGGAGCTGCCAAGAGATCTAGGCAGGAAATGCCTTACCTCCAGCATCTGGGTGCCCCAAGGTTGGGTGGGCTAGGGCCTGGGTCTGGAAGGGAGGGGACTTAAGCTATGGGCCCTACTTGAGTAGCAAGAGGGAAGTGGATGGAGGGATTGCAATGCAGTTCAAGCAGCTTTTACCTAGGCTATTGTGCCTGAGGCACAGTCCTAGCCCCACAATCCTACTGACATCTCCAGGGAGGGGAGGTGGGAGTGGCAGAATTCTTTCAGTGGGTGGGGAGGGGAGCTGGGATGTCCCATCCACTCATCTCTGCCCCTCCACATAGCTGGCTGTCAGGAGCTGGTGAATCCCTGGTGTAGCCTGGTGACGCTCACTAGGCACCTGAAGCAGAGGGTGCAGGTCCCCACAGATGGTAAGGAGATATGGGGGGACTGTGGAGGAGGAGCTGAGGGCCCAGGGAGAGGTGCAGCTTGCCCAGCCTCTCCTTATGCCTTTCCAGCAACCATTGCCCTCCTGGCTAAGGATGGGCACCTGGTGAACCTGAGTGAGGGCTTGGAAGCCCAGGCCCCTTCCCTGGGCTGTTCCTTGCTTCAGGAGCGAGGGACTTATGTCCTGGTACAGATCATTAGTAAGTGGGGACCAAGATTCTCCCTTGCTGCTATGTTGGGATAAAGGGAGGGATAGGAGGCCACAGACCACTTAAGGCCCTGCCCAGCTCCGACTTTGGCTGTGTCCCAGCCCCAGTTTGGCCCTATCAAATGTTCTGTCCTACCTCCTAACCTGGGCCAGCAAACAGATCCAGAGTAAAAGGTGGGATGGGGACCACCAGGATCGACAAGGACCCTTTGTCCTCTTCATACACCACAGAAGGGAAAGATGGGGCCCCTGCATACTATGAGTCCCTACTAGACAACCTAGATGAACAGCACCCGGAACTGGCAGGTGAGTGTCAAGGTAGAATGGGGGTGGGACACATCTCCCCAGTCCCCAACAACATGACTTCCTGGATCTTTCAGAGGAGCTACGCTGGCTGTCAGGCCTTCCAGCCACCAGCAATGGCCAGAGAAGACGCGTAGGCACTCGGCGTGGCCACCGGGAGCAAGATCCCCCTTCACGGTCTCGAAGGGCGGCCTCCCTGTCATCTAGGACCTGATAGCTGGAGCCAGATATTGAAGAGGTATGAGACCCAGGAAGACCCAGAAGTGAGTTTCCTTCCTAAGAGACAGACACAAGTGTGCTGAGAGGTACAGACCCCACACATACACACCCCAAGATGGTACACACTGTACCTAGAGATAGGTCCCCCTAGCCTGCTGGAGTGAAAGCACCCTAAAGGTAGGAATGCTCTCAGTGCTTAGGAAGCTGGTACACATCTCTCCAGCCTGGCACATAGTAGGTGCTCAATGCACAGTTGCTAACTGAACCTAGTAGCAACAATGTGTGATAGAGCAGTCTGCCCTGGGTTTGAAGGGCCTACTCTGTTCCAGCAGGCCCTGTGACCTGGCAACACCACAGCCAAGTGGCCAAGCTGGACTTAACTCCAAGAGGACTGGCTCTGACCTCTACCTTATGATCAACTGCAAACACACAGCAATTCAGTAGGACTCTGCTTTCAGAATCTGAAATTACTAAGAAGTAGCATCAGCAAGAAGGGGATGGTCACAGGATGTGAGTAAAGGGGCAGGTGTCCCTGCGGGCAGATACAACCAGCTCATCCTGAAATAGTCTAGGTACCAGAGTCTGATGCCCCTGGGTCCCTTGCAAATGCCTCATCCCCCCACTTGAGACTCCCCAAGGTAATCTGTCTTTGACTTCCCACAGTACAGATTACAACAGGGTTCATCTTACCCCTCCCAGAGGTTGAACGACAGCCTGGATTACATAGCACACAGAGACACAGAGCCATAGACACACACACACACACACACACAGAGATGAAGCAAAGCACACTAAAGAGGTATCCATCCATCCATCCATCCATCTCCCCGATCTCACCTTCCAGCAGATGGACCAGCAAATAGGCACACAGCAGGCTGCAGTCTAAAATAAACTCTTTAATTGCACATTTGTGGCTTGTGTTATCTGAGGGGTGAGAAATTGCTTCCTTACTCCCGTTCCTGGGTACAATCTCACTGTGGTCTGGCTGTCAGTGAGGGGCCAGGGTAAGTGCAGGGGTATGACCTAGGACTCTTCAGGGCAGGGAGCTCAGACCTGTGAAGAAACCGCAGCGTAAGCTGGTGATCAGCCTGCAAATACAAGAGGGTCTGCTCCTCCCAAACCCCCTGGGGGTCAGTTCAACTGCTCACCGTGATTGTACTTGCACTGCTTCAGGGCCTCGCTGAAGCCCTCACACAGGGATAGGTCACTCTGAGTGGTCGAGCAGTCCAGGAACTGCTTGATCTCATAGGCGCAGGGCCCCATCTGTAGGGGTTGTTGGGCAGGACGTACTGGGGCCTGGAGAAGAGTTACAAGAGGCAATATTATCAGCTCAAGTTTGGTACCCAAAAGTATGTTCCAAAGTTGGAGGTTGCCTGCTTCTCACCACATCCCCAGCCCTGGTGCCCCAAAGAAAGGTCCAAGGCAGATTGAATGACCCAGTACCAGCTAGCCCTGCCTAGCCTGAACTATTCCAGCCCTGTCACAGATGAGCCAGCAGCCAAAACCACTCAACTGAGACAGGGTTTCCCTGTTGCCTCAAAATTAGCAAGTGCAGGAGAGGGGGAGAGAAGGCTCTAGAAAACACATGTGGTCCATGAACATATAGTATAAGCTCCACCCTAAGTTCCAGCACCTTCCTGGCTTAGCCACACTGATTCTCATGACCCAAGACTCACACTGCTAATTGGCATTTGATTTGGCTCAAGACTGGTGGGAGTGGTGGAAACCTAGTAGGGGACAGGTCATCAGGGAAAAGGTGACATGGTTGTAGGCTGACCTTCACTCAGGTCCAGCAGCTACCATACTAGGCCTGGGGGTGAGAACAGGGCTTGGAAAAAAACACATCTCCTCCTATTCCACTGGGGTTAGGTACCCTTTGAGCAAGTCTTTGAGTCCATCAGAGCCTGGTTTTCTCCATTTTTAAAGGACTAGCTGGTGTCATTCTCTGGGAGTCTAGGCACCTTGCCCTCAAGGGAGGGGCAGGGAGAACCTGCCAGTGACTGCCAGTGGACTCAACAGCCTGAGGAATAGGACCCTTTTTGGTCAAAGTCCTGGGCCTGAGGCAACTCTGAGCACAATGAAGACTCCGCACAGGCTCTTCCGCAGCATGAGTGCATCCCACCTTCCTTTCTCTAGGGGCCTGCAGCTCACCTGCTGGACAGCGGGCTGGGCAGGCTCCGAGCTTCCCCCGCTGAAGGCACCGGTCAGGGCGCTGCCTACGACGTGGCCCACCGCCGAGCCCACCGCTACCCCTGCGGCTGTGGACGCCATCTGAGCCATAAGGCCTGGCTGGCCAGAAGCCGCAGGAGCCGGGGCGGCCGCAGAGGGCGGTGGGTGCGCAGGAGGGTGGGCTGGGCGGCTGCAGGGAGCAAGGGGAGGCAGGGTTAATGCTGGACTCCGGCCAGGGACCCGCAGCTCTCGCAAACAAGTCCCTCTACTCCCGGGGGCGCAGGCAACCCTCGTCTTAGACACGTGGTAGCTGCACCCCCGCCCCTCCCCCTGCCAAGATGGCGCAGTAGCCACCAAGGTCATTCCGTGGATGCCCTTGGGGAGTACCACGCTTCCCCTCGCCCGTCCCCTCGGGGGATCCCCGTCCCCGTCACACCTGACAGGCCGGGCGGCCGCGCTGCGGCTTCCGCGAGGCATGGTAGCAGCGGTGGGACCTGGAGGAGCAGAGCCAGCAACGTCGACGGTAACAACCAGGAGCAAAAGCCGCAGCACTTGTCACTTCGGTGAAAGGGGCGGGATCGGAGGCGGGACCTGAGGGACACGCCCTTCCAATGGGAGGTGGCACCCCAGGCCAGCCCCTCATTCTGGATACTGCTTACCTCTGCCTTCCAGTGTCCCCCTGGACAGTGGCCCCTGCGCCCTCCTTGTACCTGGCCTGAGCTGCGAGAGCCTTAAGGACACGAGTCAGTGTTGTAAGCCACCTAAGGCTTAAACATGGGCAGGAAAGCCAGACCTTTCTGTTAGAGGACCTGGCAATGGCTGGGTGAGGTGGCACAGGCCTTTAATCCCAGTACTTGGGAAGCAGAGACAGGAGGATCTCTGTGAGTTCAAGGCCAGCCTGTTCTACACAGTGAGTTCCAGGCCAGCTGGGGCTACAGGGAGACCCTGTCTCAAAAAGATTAAAAAAAAAGCCTCCAGATCATCAGGACATCAAGAAAATCTTTGGGTTCTTCAGAATTCCTGTTAGGAGGTGTCCTGATCACTCTTCGACTCTCCTGGAGCCTGCAGCTTTGAGCTGTATGGGTCCTGGGTGTGCGGAGGGGGTTGATCTGCCCTCAACCCTACCATACTCTCTGGGTCCAACCTATCAAGTCCAGGTGGGCTCCTGGCTCTAAGGATGCTGCCACTAGACACTGATAGCCTTCAGTAAACATTCAAGGAATGTGTTGTGTTCATCCCAAAGGTGAACTGAGTGCAGGTATTTGCAGGCCTAGGTCAAAACCAAACTCAGGTTTGAGTTCAGAGCCTTATGATTTCAACATCTTAGTACCACTCAGCTTTTATGGTCTTTCCTCGGTGACTTTGCTGGGATCATACTATGACTCCCAGGGGAAGACAAGTAGGAATCTTGACTCCTTTCCCCTCTCCTGTGACTGTTTAAGGTTACAACAGAGATCACCTGGTACCAAGAAATTAACAAGAGAAAAGCATAGGGAACAGGTGGTCAGAGCTATTCAGGACCACACACTGGACATGAAATTCATGCCTGCTCCTGTGTTCTGACATTTGTTTCTTTCCAAGGCCTATGCAGCTCTCCCACAAGAACTTCAGTGCTCCTCTCTCTGAAGTGGAGTTACTTACCAGCCACCTGCTGGATGGATTTCCCTGAGCAGGTAAAGAGTGGGCCACTCCTTACTCAAAGAAATGCCAGGCCTGCTCCAGACCTACTGCTTTACACATGGGATCTCTGCTTACCTGGTTTCCACTGGCCAAATGGGGCCATCCTTCCAGGCTCGACTTCTGCAGGCCTCTGTGGCCAGCCCACTCTGGTTAATGTGCCCTGCTGCCCTTCCAGAGCCTGCACTAGAGATAGTGGTGACTTGGGCTTTGGTGGTTGGTGGGCTGCAGGCTCCCCAAAACATGACCATGCATCCTTGGAGAACCTGAAGGCCATTTACGTACTACACAAATGAGCGGGTTTTTTGTTTTGTTTTGTTTTTATGTGTGTGTTTTTTTGAGACAGGGTCTCCCTGTAGTCCCAGCTGGCTTGGAACTCGCTATGTAGACAGCCTGCCTCTGCCTCCCAAGTGCTAGGATTAAAGGCATGCACCACCACACCTGGCAGAGTGTTTCATTTTTTTTAAATCTTCTTCTTTCATATGCATCAGAAAATGTATGAATAGCTCATCCAGTTCATGATTTCTTGACCAACATTGCTGAGGCTGGACCAGTACTTGAAATTCTGGATATGGGGATATGTGTTTGTAATCTCATCACTCTGAGAAGCTAAGGCAGGGTATCTTCAGTTGAGGCCAGCCTGGGCTACATAAACACATAGGAGGCAGGCCTGGCATGGCAGTGCACATCTTTAATCCCAGCACTGGTGAGGCAGAGGCAGGTGGAGCTCTGTGAGTTCAAGGCTAGCTGGGGCTACATAGTGAGTGCCAGGCCAGCTGGGGCTACAAAGAGACCTTGTCTCAAAAAAACCAAAAAAAAAAAAAAAAAAAAAAAAAAAAAAAAAAACCATAGGAGGCTCTGTCATGAAAGAAAGAAAAGAAAGAAGGGAAAAGGGAAAGAGGAAAAGAGGAAGAAAGAGAGGGAACAGGTGAGAAAGAGAGAAGGGAAGGAGAATCCTGCTTCGATTAAACGTGTACATCACTACACCTGGCTGTATATACATTTTTTACAATAATAACCTGGTGTTGAACTTAATTCTATTCACTGTTATGATTCTAAATTATTCATATGCCTTCACTTTTGGACACTAACTCATTTCTTATATAGTTTTCTTTTCATGGTTAACTTTTTCTACATCTACATTTTGCTTTTAGATTATCTAAAAACAGTGTCTCAACTTGTTCCCTTTTCTAAAAAGATTATTTTTATGAAAATAAATGTCCAAATGTAAAGCAAAAAAAAAAAAAAATACTGTAGTCAACTCAGAAAACTCTTGGCTGTGTTGGACCTCTTGGTCCTCTAGGGGTCTCTCTGGAGTTTTACTGGAGAAGCTGTGAAGGGCATTCCCAGCCCTTCTTTGACTCAGGCTGGCTGTCTACAACCCAGCCTCACTTAGCAGCAGCTCAGGGCTCTGCCTGCCAGCTTGGGAGGGAGCGCTGCCTGGATCTTGGCTTTGGGGAGTTGCCAGTACAGTGGAGAGACCCCCTGTCATGGGAGGGTGTGCACAGCAGGACTGGGCACCCCTACAGTGAGGAGACTGCAGGATCCTTCCCAGTTTGTGGATATAGCTCTCACGTTGATTCTCTCCCCTGTTCCTTCATGGCTGGCCCCAGTGGTCAGGAAAAGCCCATTAGCCAGGGACTGACCCAGGGGAAAGCCTGGGCCTCCAGTGCTCTACTGAGACACCCTCCTATGCCCTTCTTCCAGCCATCTGACCCCTCCATTTACCTACTAGTACAGAAAAGTCTGCCCCCTCCCTCTAAGAGCCTCGATTTCCCTATCTATAATTGTCTCTGGTTTGTTTTAAAATGAGGGGCTGGCTAGTTTCTGTCACAAGCCTTGGTTTCCTCTGGGTCACACTTTACTAGTCCTTTCCTCACAGGAGCTACTGTGCCATCTTCCCAGTGAATCAGCTGGGGCTGTGAGGTTGGGGGAATTTGACCACCTGTCACAGGCTTTAAAAAGGTCGGAGGTCAGGCCACCGTGGAGGCCTGCCAAATGATGAGGCTCCCGAAAGTGGGGTTGGAGATCAGCAGGATTGATCTCTCTCACCAGATCTAATCCCCAAACACAGCGGGCCCAGCCCCTCGGGGCACTCCTCCCCCACCCAGGCAGGCGCTGCAGTCCCGTAGAATTTAGAACAAAAGGCGGCCGGGGAGGGGGGGGGCGGGCCTGGCGCGGCGGAGGCGGGGCGAAGGCTATAAGGGGCTGTGGCCCGGCGCTGCCCAGCAGGCCCAGCAGCCCCAGGGCGGATGGCTCGGGCCACTTGGCTCCTCCGCGCTCTCCCGCGCGCCCTCCTGCTCCCACCGCCTCCGCTGCTGTTGCTGTTGCTGCTGCTCCCGCCGCCAGGGCTGATGGCCCGGGCCAGGTCACCGGTGAGTGCCCGTCGCTCCTCCCCAAGGGAGGGCTGGGCACGCGGGCTGGGCCCACTTGCTGAGCTTGATGCACCGGGAGTCCCGGGTACCGTGGCGCAGTCGGTCCCCGAAACGTCTTTGGGGTCTCTGTGGGTTTGATAGTGAGCGTCCCCTCAGTGGCGGTACGCAAATGGAGCCTATGCCGAGATCGCTCAGGCTGGAGAGGTGCGACTTGGCACTGGACTCATGCGCCCCTCCCTGCTTGGGGAGCGGTTCCTCCTGCCCCAACTGGGGATGCTGAAGTGTGTGTTGTCGGAAGTAGCCTAGGTGGGTGGGATACAGGGTTCCTTGCTCATCACAGGAAGAAAAGAAGCAAATCCCAGGCGGGTGTCAGCCGCCAGGTGAGAGGCCCTCCAGTGGATGGAGAATAAAGGAGGAACTGGGAAAAGGAAGATGGGGCCCTAAGCTGGAGGGAGGCGCCATCCCAGGACACCTGCAGGAGAAAGTTTGGGGAACTTGTAGCCCACGAAGCAAGCATCTGCGAGTGATGTTGTGTGTGGTCATCAAGGGGCAGTCAGAAAGAAAGGGACCACTGAACTGAAATTGGGTGGTTTAGACCCCCAGAGAGCAAAAAGGCAGGAAGAGAAAGGAAAGGGTGGAAATGGGGGGGGGGGGCGGATCAGAGAGCAGCAACCGTGGGGAGGGATTGGAAGGAGAAGGACTCTGAGGGTGGCAGCCCAGTGTGTCCCAATGACTGCATCCTCCTAGGCTGGGCTTTGAGGTACCTGTCACAGAAGCAGCTAGGCTGGGCCTGGGGCCAGAGCAGGGACCATTACCAGTCCTGCAGTACCTAGTGGGTACCCAGCCCTCAGCTGCCTAGCTTAGGCAGCTATGAGAGAAGAGAAGGAAGGTATGACAGGTGGATATCCTGGGACTGGTCCCTCTGACCAGCCAACACTGGCCACGGAGCAGAAGTGTTTAGTAAGGTGGGGTATTGGGATGATGAACACCTCAGGTAGAATAAACCTCACCTCTAGAACATGGAGCAGAGTGATCCCACCCCCCCCCAACCTCCAGAGGTAGTAGCTGAACTCAAGTGTTGGGCAGGGGGATTGTAGAGATCTGGGTTATTTGAACCATAAGAGCCTGTGTGAATGCTCTCTGCCACCCCTTGATCTATAATGAGAGGACAGTGGGGTTGGGGGCATCCGTGCCTACTGTTGGGCGTTGAGGATAAAAGGAAACAATGCAAGGCACACAACTGCAGTTGTGACCACTCATGTATGCGGGGGTTGGGGGACCAGTAGGGTGGGATCTGAGCTGAGTGTCTGACACTCTGTAGACATGCAGGGAGCATTTGGGGTTACCTCCAATGTTTTTATCCCTAGACTGCCATGAGCAGGGCCAGAAGAGCTCTGTAAATATTTATCCATCCCAGGCCCCAGCTTTCAGAGTTGATGAAAGCTCTATAACCTAGTGGCCAAGGAAGCTGCCTTCCCTCCTGGAGCCAGCTGGGGATGGGGTGTGGGGTGGGCAGTGAAGATTAGGCAGAGAAGCCTGGAGATGCGCCTGTGCACTGAGTGATTTATATGACTTGGGCAGTTTGTATTCCTTCTCTGAGCATCAGGTAGTCAAGATGATGTTCCCCTGCCCTCCTCAGAGCCTACCAAAGTACCTTCCTCTCAAGGTTGACTCTTACTGACAGCAGCATTTCCCCATTGTACCAAAAGCAAACTGAGGTCCAAGAAAGGACACCACCAGTCTGCTCTTTCCCAGGAGCTTCCTTGTCTGGGGTCCTCTCTTATCTGCCTTCCACTAGGTTCCTCCCATTGCTTGGACTGGAAGTTGATCCAGTACCGACCTTGAGCCTCTGAGCTATGCCAGGAGACTGGGTCAGCCAAGAGTCCTTTAAGTGTGTCTGAGGCTGTGGCTTAGCAGCTGCCAGGCCAGAGGAGGCGGGGCAGAATGAGTCAGGCCCCTCCACAGGGCAGGCTGAAAAAGAGGCTGCTGGCTGAGAAAGAGGGAATGCACTAGAAGCAGAAATGTGTCTCAAGAATGTGAATTTTTGGTGATTGGCCAAGGTTGGAGGGGTGGTCTGGGCTCAGCTCTTGTCTGGCTTGCTGTATGATCCTGGGCAAATTCTTTAACCTCTCTGGACTCTTGTTTCATCCTCATATGAGGTAATGGCTCTCCCCAAACTCACCAGGACTATAGGGGAGGCCAGGGGTGCTCTGTGTTCACCATTCTGCTCACTGGATCCCACTAGTCCTAGGAAGACAGAATTTGGGGAGAAGAGACTCCCAAGTGTGAGAGTGCAGGGCCTAAAGGAATAGGATCAGGTAAGAGACCTTCTCTGTGTCAGATGCTGCTGCAGGAATTACAGAAGGATGTCATTTACCTCTTCTTGTGGCACTATCAGCACTTGACATATGGAGAAGCTGCTGCTCAGCAAAGACTGATTTTTTCCAAGGTAGCCATGGCATAGAATTAGGCTTTCGGAAGCTCACAGATTGGCCCTTGTTCCTGCACTGAGTACCATGATCCAGTGATCCGGATGGCCTTTGGTACCTCACAGGGGTGGGGAGTGTTGAGGAGACCATGGTGGGAACAGAAGGGGTATACATCTCCACTATCTTTTATGGCTGTTGCACCGGCCTCACTGGTAGCAGAGGAGAAAGACAGTGCTGGCAAGCTAGGCTTTGGGCTGTGAGGGGCTCCCAAGGGATGTTAGCACTCTGTCCCTCTTTGAGAGGGTCACTTGACCACTGCTTGAGTTGGGGAGAGGAATCTGTTTTTCCTGTCAGCCAAATGGGGCAGGCCCTTGTGGCTAGTCATGCAGACCAGGGTCCATCTCTTCACTGTGATACACTTTGGAGTTCCCAGGGTAGAGTTTCAGTGAGCCCCTGTGCAAAGTGCCTGAGAGGCAGCAGGTGCACCATAACTTCTCATCCCTTCTCTTCTACTACCCAAGGGAGGCCAGCCTGGGTTCCTCCTTGAGAGGACAGATGATTCCATCTTCAAAGAGCAGAATAGAGACACCAGGGAGTGGGTGAGCTGTGAGCACAATCTGCTTTCTGCCACTTGTTGCCTGAGCAAATTGTTCTTTTCCTCATCTGAGAAATATGGTTAGTGAGGGTAGACTGGGAAGAGCTACAGCAGGTTAGGCACATGTCAATAAAGCTGTGGGCAGTGTCTTAGCCTTCATCAGTGGTAAGTGTTCAGTGACAGTCTTCTCAGAACCAGCTGGAAGCCACAATGCCATGAAGTCTGTGCTGTGCCAGGGAACCACACAATAAGGAAGCTCCGAAACTAGGAGGAAACTGGTTTGGGGCCTCATATCCTGAGTAACTCTACATACCCTCATGGTTCCAAAGGCCCCTTCATTGTGGCATGTTCTTGGGTGCTGAGTCCACAGATTTGGAATGGAGAGCTTGAAAGACTGGGACCCTGACCAGATCCCTGAGGTGCCTGAAGCCTGAGAGAGCTGTCACAGGCTGAGGCTGAGCATGGAACCTGAGTGGTCAGGCTCCTGCCCCAAATATGGCTACAGGAAGGAAAGCCACTATAGGCCTGTACCAGACAGGTGCAAAAAGCACAGTTCCATTCCTCTCCTCCAGCCCAACTTCTGTCTGGGGTCTGAGCCAGGTTCTTTCCTTTGACCTCATAACCACGGCTGTCACCCAGCCTGCCATGCCCTTTCTGGGTGACTTCCTGACTTTTAGGCTTCTGCTTGCTTGCTTTTCTTTCTTTCTTTCTTTCTTTTCTTTCTTTCTTTCTTTCTTTCTTTCTTTCTTTCTTTCTTTCTTTCTTTCTTTTCTCTTTCTTTCCTTCCTTCCTTCCTTCTTTTCTTTTCTTTTTTCTTTTCTTTTCTTTTTGAGACAGATGTCTCTCTGTAGCCCCAGCTGTCCTAGAACTCACTATGTAGACTGGGCTGGCCTTGAACTCACAGAGATCTGCCTGCCTCTGCCTCCCAAGTGCTGGGATTAAAGGTGTATGCCACCAAGCCCAGCTCTAGGGCTTCTGCTTTTCTTACATTACAACTTAAAAAAAAATTTTTATTATTTTTATTTTATGTGTACGAGTGTATTGCCTGCATGTATGTGAGTGCACCCATGTTGTGCAATGCCAAGGAGGTCAGAAGAGGGCTTCGGATTCCCCTGGAACTGGAGTTAAGGACAGTTCATAGCCCGCCATATGGGTGCTGGGACTCGAACCCAGGTCTTCTGCAAGAGCACTCAGTGCTCTTAACCGCTGAGCCATCTCTCCAGCCCCACAGTACAACTTTTTTTCCCTCAAGAACTGGGAATTCAATATAGGCAAGTACTCTACCACTGAGTTAAACTCCAAAGGGAGAACTATAATTTCTGCCCTGGGGACTTGAAGAATGTGGGAGGATGCAGCTCTGATCACAGTTTCCATCTGTGGTTCTGGGGCTTTGATGGGGTGGGAGATGATTGCCCTCATTCTCCCTGCATGAAAGGGGCAGAAGACCACAGATCCAGCTCCCTCTGTGTCCAGCAACAGCATCTCTACTAGAACTCCAACCTCAGATGGATGAGGGTGTCATTCAGTAGTAGAATACATGTGTATTCCATCCCCATCACTCCCACATACACCCAAAAAACGAAATCTCACCTGTTACCCTGTGAGTGCCTAGGCCTGTGCTAAGTGTCCTACATGCATACCTTGTGCTCTTAGATAACACCATTGAAAGATAGCCCTCGCCCCCATTTGTCAGGGAAGCCAAGACCATACTGAAAGCTGCAGTGCCTCCATGCTGGGGGAGGGGAGCATCCTTGGAAGGTTTGTGGAGTCCTTACCTAGGTGTGTTTGGAGAATGCAGTTAGGGGCTCATAGACTCATGCTCCCCTAGTTTCTATGTGTCCTCATCCAGACCTCCTTAGTCTAATCAATAGGAGTTGGTGACAGATAACCCAGGACCCTCCGACAGGGGAAAAAGAAGAAGTTTGGTGCCTTGGAACAAAGTGTCAGGAAGCCAGAGGTTCAACCTAGGGCCAAAGGGTTCTGCCTTATGCCAGCACCCCTTCCAGCCCCTCCGTTTGTCTAGCAGCTCAGTGGGCCTGAGATGAGCGCGCTGTGCTGAAGAGTCACATCTCAAACCTCAGTGCCTGACTTGGTTCTTGCATTCTTTTTCTTGTTCAGGATATCCACCACTACCACCCTGTGAAGAGAGGGCTGCAGCCCTTGCACAGGGCTCTGCCTAGAAGCTTGACATCTGTCCCTGCCTCCCACCAGGCCCCTAGGCCTAATGGTAGCTCCAGACCTCCAAGATGTGGTGTACCTGACCCACCTGATGTGCTGAATGCCCGCAACAGGCAGAAGCGCTTTGTACTGTCAGGAGGGCGCTGGGAGAAGACAGACCTCACCTACAGGTAGGGGCCAAAGGCTAGTGGAGCAGGACTGTAGGCTGTCCTTACACCTTCATCCTGAGATATGCAGGGCCACATTCACGTAGCACACAGACCCACATGCTCACTGACACCTCCCCCATCATCCATGGACCAATAACCTGGAACCTCTGTCTAAACACACAAACAGTACCCTCTTGCTGCCTAGAAGAGCCTTAGCACATGCCTGAGTGACAGGTGTTCAAGCACTCAGGCAAGATCTACTAGGGACCTGTTAGGGCAAGGCCTGAAACTGATGGTGAATGAGACAAAGCCACAGCCCCAGTAGGCTGTTCAAATCTACTGTAACTATCTAGGCCTTGTGCAGATGGAAACCATGGTAGGTAGAGAGAGATAATGGTAGACTCCTTGCTGGTGGTATAGGAGGTCCCTCGGCAGGTGACGAAGCTGAGACTTAGCCTGAGAGAGAAGGATGGCTGCAGGCACATGGCATTGATGCAGAGATGGAAGGGGAGCCACAGGAACTTCCTGACTGGGGAACCTGGAACCATGACAAGGCTCCCCACAGTGAGTGGTACTCTCAGTTCATAGGGCTCCTTGTGTTTTTTTCACCCTTGTGAAGACACCTGTGTGCATCTAAACATGCACAAACCCATATAAAGGTGTACCCACATGGCCAGGGAAACTCCCTGCACCTGAGGCCAGAGCATACACATCCACTGAGCATCTGGAGGCAATACTGTTTTTTTAGGTGAAGGGAGTGAGACAGGATCTCATACTGTAGCCGCTGGCCTAGAACTCATTATATAGCCAAGGCTGGCCTCACACTCACAGCAATCTTCCCTCAGCTTCCTGAGTGCTGGGATGAAAGGTATGCATCACCATTCCCAGTTCCCAGGGGCTTCCTTGCTGCATGCCCAGACCCCTCCACCTCCCCCCAGGATCCTCCGGTTCCCATGGCAGCTTATAAGGGAGCAGGTGCGACAGACAGTGGCAGAAGCTCTCCAGGTGTGGAGTGAGGTGACACCGCTCACCTTCACTGAGGTGCATGAGGGACACGCTGACATCATGATCGACTTCACCAGGTGAATTCTGTGACCTAGGATCCTTTTGGGAACAAATCCCATTGCCAACAGCCTCTGACTGTGCTCCCACTCACCCACAGGTACTGGCATGGGGACAACCTGCCATTTGATGGGCCTGGGGGCATCCTGGCCCATGCCTTCTTCCCCAAAACCCACCGAGAAGGGGATGTGCATTTTGACTATGATGAGACTTGGACTATTGGGGACAACCAAGGTATGTGCTCAAGACCACTTTTCCAGATGGGGCAACTAGGGAACAGAGAGAAGAGGAACTTACCAAGCACTTGGGGTTTGGAGCTTGGGTGACTGGTGGCAGGAGGTTATTAACCTACCTCCCTTTTCCAGGCACAGACCTGCTGCAAGTGGCAGCTCATGAATTTGGCCATGTGCTGGGGCTGCAACACACCACAGCAGCTAAGGCCCTTATGTCCCCTTTTTACACCTTCCGCTATCCCCTGAGTCTCAGCCCAGATGACCGCAGGGGCATCCAGCACCTCTATGGCCGGCCCTGGCTTGCCCCCACCTCCCAGGCCCCAGCCTTGACCCCCCAGGCTGGGATAGATACCAACGAGATTGCATTGCTAGAGGTGAGACTGGAAAGTGGGGGAGGGGGGAAGACAGAGGTGAGGCCCTGCCCGTTCCCCTCTGCTGGTCTCTTTGACTCTAGTAGAGGCTCTTTTCTTGTTCCTCTCTCCCACCCTAGCCGCAAACCCCACCAGATGCTTGTGAGGCCTCCTTTGATGCAGTTTCCACCATCCGAGGCGAGCTCTTCTTCTTCAAGGCAGGCTTTGTGTGGCGGCTACGTGGTGGCCAGTTGCAGCCTGGATATCCTGCTCTGGCCTCTCGCCACTGGCAAGGACTGCCTAATCCTGTGGATGCAGCTTTTGAAGATGCCCAGGGCCATATCTGGTTCTTCCAAGGTGAGTGGGAGTTGGAAGTCAGCCAGGGGTAGTAACAGACGGAAAACTCAGGGACACAATGGAGAGGGAGAGGGTGCCCTGAGGTCTCAGATCCAAGGCAAAAAAAAGCGAGGGGTGGGGCACACTCCTTGGCCAGAGCCGAGAGTCTCCTGAAGTGAGATCAGAGTAGCTATGCTGGTATGCTAGTACATTCAGCCCCCAAAGCCATCCTGTGCAGTGAAGCTTTAGAGATGAGGACCCAGACTTAGACATGTTAGAATAACTTACTTAAGGCACCGAGCTTAGAAAAGGCAGAGCAGGCAACTGATCCAGGTTTGGTGGCCTTGGAGCCTGTGATTTCAACTTAGCTGGCAGAGATGGCAAGCTGGAACATTCCAGGTGGCAGAAACCTCTATGTGTATTCCAAGGTAGCCAGTGGCTTGTTTATAACTGGGGCTGGGGCCCAGGGGATGGTCAGCAAGCATCTGTGATGGGCAGCCCTCTGCTGACCAGAAGAACCTCAGCATGGGTTACTTTATAGAGCCTTCTCTACCTGGCTTGTCCTCGCTGGCTCTAACATCCCTCTGGGGTAGGGGTGTTAAGCAGGCAGTATTGGATAGCATGTTTTACAGACAAGGAAACTGGCTGGGAGAGTCCCTGATGGCGGCCAAGCAGATTGACAGTGACTGGGCATGATAGCTTGGCAGCTCCTGGAAGCCTCTCCTCTCTGGCAGGTGCTCAGTACTGGGTATATAATGGTGAGAAGCCAGTCCTAGGCCCTGCACCACTCTCTGAGCTGGGCCTGGAGGGATCCCTAGTCCATGCCGCCTTGGTTTGGGGTGCTGAGAAGAACAAGATCTACTTCTTCCAAGGTGGAGACTATTGGCGTTTCCACCCCAAGACCCGTCGTGTGGACAATCCTGTACCCCGCCGTGCCACTGATTGGCGAGGGGTGCCCTCTGAAATAGATGCTGCCTTCCAGGATGCTGAGGGTGAGTTAGGAGTGGGGTAGTGGGAGGGAAGTGAGTGCAACAGGCCTAGCATCACCAAAGTAGTGATTGGCCCCCCTCACACCCACTTCATGAGGCCGGACTCACCATCATAGGTCCTTTGTCCAGCACCATTTGCCCTTCTGGTGGCCAGCTGGTGTTGTGCTCTATGTTACAAATGAAGAGACTGAGAGCCAGAGAGGCACAATGACTTGCCCCTTCCCTTGATTACAGCTGTGAAATACTTTGTATACCAAGGGCAGATGATGCTCCAGGCACAGCATCAAGCTCCTTATCTGTCTCATAACTCCCAGAACAACCTTCTGACACCATAACATGTCTTACTAACACAGTTTTCAAGGGGCAAACATGTACAGGCAATGAGATCTCTTAACTGTACCACCCAGATGAACAGTTGTAGACCCAGGACTCCCATTAAACAGTCACTGTTCCTAACCACAGAACACCAGTCTTCCCCCAAGCTCAGGGGCCAAGAACCACGCTGGAATTCAAAGCCAGTGCTCCCTCACTTGCTGGCCCCCTCTTTGCTTCTATGCCTATACTGGGACTGGCTGGGAAAACTACTTTGCATAGCCTCAAGTTCTGGATCTTGAAGATACCCTCTGTGGTCTGTGGGCAGGTATAGAAGGGTAACGAGGAAATTGGTGAGAACTTTCTGAGAGGTGGGAAGGTGAGGCTCCCAGCACCTGCTGGACCAGTCCCTGGGGGCAGGCAAAAGGGCTCCCTGGAGGGAAAGAAGGTTCTGGTATGCCAGCTCTGGAGCCTGCAAAATAATTTTTTTTGAGGCTAGGTCTCATGTAGCCTAAGCTGGCATCAAACTTGATAATGTAATCAAGGATGACCTTGAACTCTTGAGCCTCCTTTTACTTCCTGAGTGCTGGGAGTGCAGACGTGAGACACTATGACCAGCTCTGCAGATTTCAAAGAATTCAGTAGAGGCCAAGGCCTGTTCACCCAGCCTTTCCTTGGTGCCTGTCCCTAGGCATAGCTTGACAGGCAGGTGCAAAGCCCAGTACCCACTTACCCATGCTGAACTTCTTCTCTTCAGGCTATGCCTACTTCCTGCGCGGCCATCTCTACTGGAAGTTTGACCCTGTGAAGGTGAAGGCTCTAGAGGGCTTTCCTCGCCTTGTAGGTCCTGACTTCTTTGGCTGTGCAGAGCCTGCCAACACTTTCCGCTGACCACAACTTGGATGCTTTCAGGGGTGCTAACCCCTGCTAGGCCACTTATATCAGGAAAGAGACCCATAGCCGTCTTTGTGGCTCTGGGCATAAGGCATAAGACAGAGCCTATGTCTCCTCAGGGGGGTGGGTTGGGGGTACAACCACCATGACAGCTGCAGAGAGGGCCACGCTGGTCGTGGTCACCTGCCAGCAACCGTCTCGGACAAGGCAAAGGCTTTGGCATTGCCTAAGGATGAGAGAGGTCTTGGGCCTCCATCTCTGGCCCTTAAGGTGGCACCTTGACAGGGTTGCAGGAACCACGGTTCCTGCTGGGTCCTGGTGCTAAAAATGAGATGTAGGGGCACCATTCTGCCTTGCCCAAGCAACCAGGCCCTGGAGTAGGGCCTTTCCTGAGAAACAGGCTCTGGGGAGATACTAGATCTCGCTACCTTCTGACAGGCCAAAAGGTACATAGGCAGCTGGGGAAGCTGCTGCTTCCTCCTGGAGACCCTGAGCCCCAGAGGCCCCAACATACCTCAGCCTTGTCCCAGGCTGGTCTTCCTGGAGCCCTCATTCTAGCACTGGTATCCTCCAAAGCCAATGTAAATCTGTGTACAGTGTACAAAGCCTTTTTGTTTTTTTTTTAACTGAAGACTGTCATTAAACATGTATGTTTTCTAAGTGTCTGCCTGGTCTTCTTTGCAACTGCAGTCAGCATGGTCAGCCCTACTCTGGGAGCAAGGGTCAAAGCCCTCATTCTTGAAGTTTCCTGGAGCTAGGCACAATGCATAGGGTTTCTCCTGCTCTATTCCTGCACACTCAGGAGGGACACCTGCAGTGGCTTTTTAACTAGCTGTTTGAGTGATCATTTTATCTGATGATGCCCCCCCCAACCGGGTTTTATTTTGTTTTGTTTTGTTTTGAGAAAAGGTCTATGTTGCTCTGGCTGACCTGGAATTCACTATGTAACGTAGACCAGGCTGGCCTCAAAGTCATAGAGCTCTGCCTAACTCTTCCTCCCAGGTGCTGGTATAAAAGGTGTGTACCACCATTGTAGCTCCTGCCACAGCTACAATTTCATTAGACCGACCCTTATGAAATAATCACTTGTGTTCACTAGTGGCCTTAAAAAATTTTTTTTCATGCAAGGATCTATTATGTTGAGTACATCTCCCATCCCCTTACCTTCCTTTTCCTCTACCTCCTGTTAGTCCCCTTGTTCCTCTAGTTTTCTTTCATGTCCTATACAAAACGATTTCTGTATTTTGTCTGAAATTGACTTAATTCCTTTTTTCTTTTTTTAAATCCCCAGTTGCACTGATATTCCTGCAAACAACATAATTTCCTTTTTGTGACTGAGAAACAATCCATTTTGTATATATCACATTTTCTTTGCCCATTTCTCTACTGTTGGGATTCCTACCTAGGTTGGCCCCATACCTTGACTATTGTGAATAGTGCCACAATAAACACTAACGTGCAAATATTTCTGTGATATGTTGCCTTGACCGTGTTGTTTTGTTTTTTGAGTCATTGCCCTGTTCAGCAGGTGGTGACTGCTAGGACATTCTCAGTACTTGTTCCCCCTCAGGGCTAAGCCCCTAGGGGCACAGGCACAGGGCGGGGCTGTGCTTAATGCAACGCTAAGGGAGGAATACAAGTATACCATCTGGATCTTCGATCACTGCCAACCCGCCTCTGCACTGTCAGTCCTCCCATTCCCTCGGGAACAGCTGTGGACTGGGCTATTTACCCCTAGAGCACCCTAGTCGGTTAAGGCGGAGAAACGGGCGCCAGCCTGGGGTCACCAAACACGCCCAGACCCCCGGCTTCCCCAGGAGCGACCCTTTCGTCACTCCTGGGGCACAGTGCCAGGCCTGGTTGTGCGACCAGGAAAGCCACGGCCTGAGACAGGGCCTCACTGGCTATTTCTGTCCGTGAGAAGTTTTCCACCGCCCCAGCCTTGGGAGGAAGCCCGGGGACGCGAAACTGCCCGAGGTTCCTTTAAGAGGCTGGGCGGGAACGCGCCCGGCCTTTTGTTCGGGAGGAGGCGGCGACGCGCACGGCAGCGTCAACGCCGGCGCATGCGCACAAAGGGCGGCCTGGTCTTCGTCCGCGGCGGCCGCTGAGGAACCCCTCGCGCCTGCCCGGCCTGCCGTTCGCCTCCCGGCTTTGGTTCGCTTCGGTTCCCCTCGGTTCCCCTCGGCTCCGCCCTAGCCCTCCTGATTCTTCCTAGCTCGGCCCCGGCCGCCCGTCTCCGCCGCCGCAATGATGATGATGGCATTGAGCAAGACTTTCGGGCAGAAGCCAGTCAAATTCCAGCTGGAGGACGACGGCGAGTTCTACATGATCGGCTCTGAGGTAGCCCGCGGCGCGTTCTCCACTTCAGGCCGCGACCGCGCCGCCCAAGCCCCGGGGCGGGTTTGACGCCCTCAGCGAGCGCCTCCATTCATCGTGGCTGCGGCGGCTGGGGCGGGACCGGGGGCGGGGCCCAATCGGGCCCTGCTGAGGTGGTCTGGGTTTACTTGTGCATTTAATGATGTTCCTCGAATCCTGCGCCTTTGGGCCCACCTCCACGCAGACTCGAAGAAAAAGGGTCTTCGGGGCTCTGGTTGCTTGGAGGTGGTGGTGCAGTTCTGCCCTTGAACCCTTTGGCATCTTTCGTGCACCTCCTCCCCCTCCGATGGCTCCGTGCGGGGTCTCTCTGGTTGTAAGCCTGAGGCGTAGGAAGGGCTCCGCCCCTTTGTGTTCCTTACACCTCTGAGATGGGCTTTGGAAGTTTCTGAAGAAACTGGGTGGGGGAAGGATGTTTGCTCTTGGGTGGACAGAAGCACATGACACATTGAATATCAGTGTTGAATATCAGATTCGAATTATTATAGGGGATAGATATGAAGGAGCATTACTTCTTAACTAGCAGTGGCAATCCCTGTTGAATCAGCTGGACCAGTGACTCGAGGAAACCCTATTGCTTACTCTTTGGGGACCAGTTGAGTATATGAAGTTTTTGCAGAGTGTCACAAAGTAGCTTCTTTGAGTTAACTGCAGCCACCAACTAGTTTATGGTCTTTTTTTTTAAAGGGTATTGGTATAAATTTCAGATGTGTAAATGTCCTTCAGTAGAGTCCTTCATATGAGGAGGTAAGTGCCCACCCTACCCTGGAGAGCTAAAGCCATTTCAGAATGCCAGTGATTCCCTCTTGGCAGCTGTTTTCTGTATCCTGCGGTTGGATGTTGCAGAGGTTTTTTTATTTCTTTGCTGGTTTTTTTTTTTTTTTTTTTTTTTTTTTGACAGTTTAGCATTTCCTGATGGATAAAACCTCATGACAGACTGAGGCTTTCAGGACACCTCATGATTCTTGTCTTAAGCTGTAATCAGGTCATGAGCCCAATGTTGTCAGAAGCATCCAGATTTTATTGTTTCCGTTTTTGACTGGGGACATAGAGTCAGCACCTATCTCCCATAGCTCAGAATGGTCCTTGTTGGCCAGTAGGCATTTGGAGGATACATAGGCAGTTGAGGAGGTCCAACATCCAATACAGAGCAGCTTGTTTAAAGAAGCCTTTATCTGATCTGATGAATCAAATGGTAATCTGGCCTTAACTCTGAGTGGGTTTGAAAAGAAAATTCTCATTTATTTGGTGGAGCATTATGGTCAGATAAGCTCGGAAGACTTAGTTACAGCCTTTTTCTGCCTTCTCATCCCCTCTCTCCCCTCCCTCCCTCACTCCTCTCTTTTCTCATTCTGAGAATTGAACCTAGGGCCATGGAGCTATATTCCTAACTGGTTTCATTTTTCTCATGTATATAAAGAGGTGCTTAGAGCTACGTGGTTTTTTTTTTGAACTCTCCAAGCATATTTTAGGTTCTAGAAAGCTCACTGTAGTCTCCTTCAGTGCCTTTATGCTTGGCCCTCCCAGTTGAATGAGAATAATCACCCTGAGACCAAAATGGACAGGCATTTGGCCTTTGGGGGCTTGGCTTTAGTTGAGGGATGAGCCTAGGGTCACGTAGCACTCCTTCTCTTTGGAGTCCCTCTGACAGTATTAGAAAGATGGGTAGCCCTTGGCTCCTTCGTGTTGAAAAATGAGCATGATGTTCAGACAGGTGGGCCAGCCATTGGAGCATAAGCAGTGTGTCTGTGACATCTGGAGCTGCCTTGGGAAGGCATCTACAGTTGCTGTGAATATGTATCACTGTCATCCTACCATCTGCCAGCAGCTGGATTTGCGAGGCCACTCACAGAGCTTTGAAGAAATGCCCAAGTCCTGCATCTTAATTTTATATTCCTTTAAGCTTAGAGAGGGCAAAGACTGGTTCAGGAAAAGATAGGCAGTTGAGCCTCAGGGTCTTAATATCTAAAGGGAACTTAGGAAGGGTCTATGGAACAAGAGCCCTGCAGACCTTTATTGTAGCCACGGGGGCCAATACTACCAATGTCTTTTCAAAAACCCAATGAAAGCTATACCTCTCTACCTTTGGATGGTAATGACCCACAAGCCAGATAGCAACAAGGGGTCTTTGCTGTCAGTATTCAGGCTCTTCTGCTCTTGGGTTCAGCAGCTCTGGCTATTGATCATATAAATTTTTCTTCAATGAAAAGTGGAGAAACATGCTTTGACTTATTTGTAAACTGTGATAGGTAGGTAAAATTGGGAAAAATAATAGAAATGATCCTTTCTGGGGCACAATTCAGAGCTGATAAGCATTTGACAGATGAGTAAAGAGACACAGATTCCCAGATAGAGCCAGTACCTTACATTGTATCCACTGGCTGTCTCCTAAAGTATGGCTGTGAAGTGATCTTTTCTGAAGTCTGTGAGACCATAGAGTATCTTTAAAGATCTTAGGACGAGCTTTTCATGAAGAAGGTCATACTTATAGTATCTGGTGCAAACAAAACTAAAGCTATTTGGGGGAGGAATGATTTACGTGACAGTCTGTGACTTGCCAGTAAGTGCTTTTTAGACTCTGGAAAATTCCTTTGGTATCCCTGGTTTGAATTTTGTTACTAAACAAAGCAACAGAGGCCATGGGACATACTATCTTGCATCTGTCTAAAATTAAAAGACCTTTTTGTGTTTATTATGTAGTAAAAATATCAAAGCTTGCTTCTTAAGATAAAAGAAGGTCACAGAAGTCTTACATTTCTGGAACATACCAGAGATCTTTAGTCTAGAATCAGAATCATGAGCTTCTTGCTAAGCTGTGGGGGCCTCGTAGACATCTGGTCAGGCCTTTCGGAAGTTGGTTCTGTTGTCAGGATGCACAGATGTAGGCCAGATGTGCACTGCTCTTGAACCCTTGATGTCAGCAGAATGTGTTTTATGACTATTGAAAGCCTGGGGTCTAGGGGCCACCTGGAGGCCTGTTTTATTAGACACTCCATCTAACAGATCCTCTATGCCAGGACATTCTCCTTTGGTGTGGAGATAGGACCCTCATAATGAGCCTTCTTGCTTTACTCATAGGTGGGAAACTACCTCCGTATGTTCCGAGGTTCTCTGTACAAGAGATACCCCTCACTCTGGAGGCGACTAGCCACTGTGGAAGAAAGGAAGAAAATAGTTGCATCGTCACATGGTAAAAAAACAAAACCTAACACTAAGGGTGCGTCTTCACGAGGGTTTGTAAACCTGTTTCAAAACCACTCGCTTATGTCATGAAGATAAAACGTTTTCACTCCAGTGTCTTCACTGCAGCCTGACCTTGGTAGGGCAGGGAGCTTTCCAGGGGCGGGCCACCCTGCTAGTACACACATGGCTCAGGTAAGGGTGGCTCAGGGAGCCTTTGGTGGTCCACTGGCGTGTATTCCTGGCTGGGCCAGTGGGTGTGTGAGGGGACCAGGGCAGTAGCAGGTGCTGTGAAGACATGTTGGTCTCAAAACGTTTTAGGAATGCTGTGATGCTCTACCATTTGCCGTGAGTGTGTTGCCATAGTCATTCTCTATGCAGCCCTAGTGGCGGGTGCTAGCCCTAGCCCTCGCTGCCCTCGGGGGCTTTCACCGCTTACCTCCCAGAGCACATTTATCCCATAGTACTCCATCCTGGCAACCAGTGTGCTAAGCTCATGTGCATGACCCCGCTCAGTGTGGCCTGTCCTGTGCCTGGGGCTTGCTAGGTGAGGCATCTGACACTATTGACGTAGTTCTGCTTTGGGCCATGGCAGTTCTGTGCAGGGTGAAGATGCTCTTCATACATTCTGGGCCCTCCGTCGGAGACATTTGGGTATGGGTACTGCGTGCCATTTGGCAGATGGCAAAACTCCTTCCCACTTGGCAGTGGCACCCTGTAGAGAGCTGCCCTGGACCTGGGTGTGTGTGCGCTTTGTAGTCTGTCTTTTTTGGTTGTGTCTCTAAGGTGCTAATGTGGTTTTCCTATTCTGAGTAAATTGGGAGTTCTTTTAATGCAGGAGCCAGAGCTGCTTATAATCCATTGCTATAACACTTCTACTTGATTCCTAAAACAGCTTCCTTGTGTCTCCTCTGTCCTCAAGTGGAGCATAGTCACTAGCACAGCGGCTCTTCAGCCTTGCCTGCCCATCCTCAAGCCCCCGTGAAATCTTGGTAGTCCCTCTGCCTTGTGCTTGAGATGCCTTTCTTTCCTATAGCCAAGTGATTCCTCCATGGCCTGAAGACCTAGAAGAGCTAAGGGGTCAAGTTGCCTAAAAGCTGCCTTGTTTTCCAGGCAGCACATCTGGACTGGCTCAGGAATGGGACCTTCTGTTTGGTGTGAAGCAGCTCTTTCCAACTCTCTGTCTCTTGTTTTAAAAGAAAAGTATTTGCCTTTTCATTCTGTCTCCTTGCTTTGTGTTCTAGATTGTGGTGGTGTCAGACCTCTTCCCACTGGGGTGGTATTCTGGAGCCTTCCTGAAAGCCTCTAGAGCTGCAGCTACCCCAGACATCTCTGCCTAGAGCTAGTGCTCTGGGGTAAATTTGTCCAAATCCATCCCAATGGAGGCTTTATCCACTAGGACTGCTAGGTAAAGCCTCAGTCCAGATTGCCCTTTTGGAAGAGGCCAGCACCCAGCAGTAGTGAGTCTTGACACCTTGCTTTCCCCACCTCCTGCATGTGAGGATCTTGTGTGCTATATCAAATTGGTTGACAGCTTGTTTGAACTGCCAGCAGGGTGACCACAGTGGGGTCTCTCTGCTTACAGATCATGGATACACCACCCTTGCCACCAGTGTGACGCTCTTGAAAGCCTCAGAAGTGGAAGAGATTCTGGATGGCAATGACGAGAAATACAAGGCTGTGTCCATCAGCACAGAGCCCCCCACCTACCTCAGGTATGCCTTCCCAATTTTGATGTGCTCCCTGGACACTTGGGGCTTAGGCAAATGGCAGAGGGAAGTTTCTCAGACCGAAGAACGGGTTAGGGTAAAGTTAAACTGAAATGTCTTTCAACCCTTTACCTGCTGTTTATAATTGACTGACCTGGAATTATGCCTGGCTATATCTTTGGGATTCTTTTTTTTTCATTTATTTATTTTTTAATTTTATTTGTTTTTTTTTATTTTATGTGTATGCCTGTATTGCCTGCATGTAGGTAAGTGCACTCATGTCGTGCAATGCCCGCAGAGGTCAGAAGAGGCTGTCAGATCCCCTGGGACTGGAGTTACAGACAGTTGTCAGCTGCCATGTGGGTGCTGGGATTCGAACCTGGGTCTTCTACAAGAACAACCAGTGTTCTTAACCTCTGAGCCATCTCTCCAGCCCCTATCTTTGGAATTCTTAAGAAACATAAGCCAAGTCTTGAATACTGGAGAGTGATTAGGAATGTTTTGAAAGTAGGACTCATTTGCCAGAAAAACTTGTCGCACAGTTAAACTTTGAAAAGGAACAAACAGTAGATTTGAATGTATACAAATAGAACTTTCGGGGGTGTGGGGGGGTGAGGAGCATCTATGTAGTCCAAGTTGGCCTCAAACTCACTGTGTAACCAAGGATGATGTTGAACTCCTGATCTTCCTGTTTCCACTCCTGAGTGCTACAGTTATAGTCATGTGCTACCATACCTGGTTTTTGCATTGCTGGGATGGCACACAGGGCTTTGTGCTTTTTTTTTTTTTTTTTAGGGCCAGGTGTGGTCACTTGGAACGCAGAGGCAGGCAGATTTCTGTGAGCTCGAGGACCTAGTGAGTCTACATAGTGAGTTCGAAGCCAGCCAGTAAGACCCTATCTCAAAAAGCCCCCCCAATTTTTTTAATGTAACATATTTAGTGTGTGCATGTATGTGTGTGTGCACATGCATGTAATGTAGGTGTGGGTGCATGTGCCACAGCACTGGAAGAGGCCAGAGGCCAACTTGGTGGAGTCAGTTTGCTCCTATCTTTATATGTGTGTTCTGAGAGTTCAAATCACAGTGCTTGTACAGAAAGTGCCTTCACCCACCAAGCCATCTTGCTGGCTCCAAACAACTCTTTTAATTAAGTATATGTGGGGCTAGAGAAATGGCTCAAGAGTAAAGAGCACTGACTGCTCTTGCAGAGGACCCAGTTTTGGTCCAAACCAGGTTTGGTTCCCAGCACCCACATAGCAGCTAATAGTTGTCTGTAACTCCAGTTCCAGGGGATCTGACACCCTCTTCTGGCCTCTTTGGGCTTTGTACACATGGGTGTACTTATACACCCATGCAGGCAAAACACTCATAAACATAAAAGTAAATTTTTTTAAAAAAGAAAGTATTGCCAGATGTGGTGGTGCACGCCTTTAATCCTAGCACTTGGGAGGCAGAGGCAGGCAGATCTCTGTGAATTCCAGGCCAGCCTGGTCTACATAGGGAGTTCCAGGCCAACTGGGGCTACAGGGAGACCCTGTCTCAAAAAGACCCCCCAAAAATAAATCAATTAAAAATTAAAAAGAAGCCAGGCATGGTGGTACACACCTTTAATTCCCGCACTCAGTAGGCAGAGGCAGGTGGATCTCTGTGAGTTGAAGGCCAGCGTGGTCTACATAGTCAGTTCCAGGCCAGCTGGGGCTACAAAGAGACCCTGTCTCAAAAAAGACCAAAAACAAATAAATATAAAGTAAAAAGGTATTTATGTCAAAAAAGTAAGTAATTAGAAATTTGTATGTTGTACCTAGAGTTTGTATACATCTAGATTTTAAGAAAAACTTGAATATTCCAAGTTTTCTTCTTAAATAGTACTACAGATTGAACCCAGGGCTCCATGAACATGTGCTCCACCACTGAGCACCCCCAGATCCCAACATACAGATAAGTAGAGGACAGTTGATACACAAATACAAGAAGGGAACAAACACAGGAAGAATGTTCATTCTCCTGAATAATTTGATTTTGTTTATTGGGGGTAGAGCTGAGAATGGAGCCCAGGACTGGGCCTTTTACATATAAAACACATATATCCTCTACCACTGAGCTGCATTCCTAGTCACTCACTCATGTAATTTTAAAAACTCAAAGCTTAAAAACCAGCAAAGCCAGGCAAAGTGGCTCATACCTCTAATCTCAGCCCTTGGGAAGTGAAGGCAAGAGGATCTTGAGTTAAAGGCCTGCCTCAAAAACAAAAGGAACAAAAATGCTTCTTAATGTACAAAAACCAGACAGCACTAGGGGTGGAGGATTATTGTTGAGAGCGATGTGGCTGTAGAAAACATCTCTTTCCAGATTTTTCCTCAACTTTGTTGTTAGATTGTTTTTCTGGTTCCCCCCAAGGAAAATGGCACACATCCAGTCTGGCAGGGGTTGTAGATGTGTGCTCGGCAGATTCTCCTTCTCCCAGGGGATGTGGTAAGACCATAAAGATGGCTAGACCTTCCTGGGAAGTCACAGAAGGAAATTATGTACACATGGACGGCACTTTTAAGTTTGCACGTGTCAGCTGGGAAGCTTTTATAGGGTGGTAAACAACTTGATCGTGTCATATGAGGACCAGCTGAGGGAGTAGAATCTGTTGTCTTGGTCATGACGATAGGGATAGGGATAGGGATATCAGAGATTTGAAGCAAGCAGCTACATTGCTCAGTCAAAGACTTGACAGCCTACCTATCCCCTCACTGGATATTGTATTCCCTATTAAGATTCTTGGGAAGATCTTTTAGTGGGAACAAGATAGAATTTCAGGACATTGCATTCTGTATGTGGCTGAGTGTGTTATTTATGTTAACTATGCCTGTGGTCTCTGACGTAACTTGTATAATCTACTTGAGTTGGGCACCAAGTGTGAGGGGCTAGCAGAGTAGACCAGACTTGGAAATGAGATGAAAGAGTCCTACTAAGATCTGGCAAGTTTGGGGAGGCAAGAGGTGGAGTTGGCACAAGATCTGGAAGAGTATCTGTCCAGAAGAGTAAGTGGTGAAGATCTGCAGTTTCCAAATGCATATAGGCCAGCTGCTATGGAATTGCCTGGAAGACCCAAAGAATGCTGGCCTCCAGCGCTCACCTGATCTGGGTGGGGATCAGGAATTTGCTGCTTAAAATTTCACATTCTGCCTGAACCATTTGCCTGGGTAGGCTAAAATAGGGATCTGGAATTGCCACCCCAGCTGTTAAGCCCTATGCAAATTAGTTCTGGGTTCCCTGTGTATTCTAGGCCTCAAGTGTAAGGTGAAAGCCAATCATAGGGTTAGAGCAAAATCTGCAGTACTAGATTGAGATGGTCTTGGCCAAACTGGGTGCTCTGATTCACTCTCTGCCCTCACCCTCATTCAGGAGGTACCCCAGACCTTAGCATTAGAGGTATTAAGAGGCCCTAGCTTTACAAGAAAGAAAAAGTTAAAAGGCTTGAAACTGGGACAGACCTTGGCCACTTTGTCTGCCCTGCCCCCTAAGACAAAGGCTGTATGCTGCGTCCCCTCCTCGCACTCCTTCCCAGGTCCTTTCTTAGAGGGTGCTATTCCATTACTTCTCTGAATTCTAGTGGACAGTTGCTATGGTAACTGTGTGTGCAGGTGTGGGAATGGGAAAATGAGCATTCTCATTTCATTTTTCCTGCTGTGATTAAAAAAAAATACTCTGATGGTGCCAGGGTGTAGTGCCAGGGCGTAGTGGCGCACGCCTTTAATCCCAGCACTTGGGAGGCTGTCAGTTCAAGGCCAGCCTAGTCTACATGATGAGTTCCAGGCCAGCTGGGGCTACAAGGAGACCCTGTCTCAAAAAGACCAAAAAAAACCAAACAAACAAACAAAAATTTCCTGACAAAACCCAACATAGGGGTAGAACGAGTTTACTTGGTTTGTGATTCTAGGTTATAATCCACCATTAAGGGGAGGTCAGGTCAGGAATTCAAACAGCTAGTCATACTGTGTCCACAGTCAAACAGAAAGAAACAAATGCACTCGTGCTGCCTGATTGCTTATGCTCCACAAGCGCTCTTCATTCTTAGTCCAAGCTTCTAGGCCCAGGGAATGAGGTTGCCCACAGTGGACTGGGTCTTTCTGCATCAATTAATAATCAAGACCTTCCTCCCCCACAGACAAGCCCACATGCCAACCTAGATCTAGATAACGCCTCATTGAGACTCTTCCCAGGTGATTCTAGGCTGTATCACGTTGACAGTTAAAACTAACTAGTGCAATGAGCAGCAGACAGTAGCTGCCCTCTCTTTTGATCACATTCTTACTAGGGAGATAAGCGAGCAAAGCACTGTGAGAACCTGAGTGTTCTCCATCATCTAACTCACACTGGATCTTCAGTGTAAAATACCTTTGGGAATTTTGCCAGTAGTAAAAAGTAATCTGGAATTTGGAGAAAGAAAGAGCTCTTTCTTTATGGAACATGGTTAGTTCATTACTTCCAGTGTTACTTTTTGGAATATACTTACCAATCCATTTTCCTCATGCCCATAGTGCTGTAAGCCAAGGGATCAGAAGCCTTGCCTCATGCATCTCAAGATGGCTAGCATGTCTAAAATCACAGTCAGCTAGGTCTCTAGTCCCAGCTTCTCAGAAGGCTTAGTTTAAGTCCAGGAAATCAGGGCCAACCTGGCCTACATAGTGAGCCATCACCTCAGAAATCAGTCAAGCACAGTCTGATCACATCTGCTCTGTTTTATCATTTAGGGTCTCCTAGCCACTGATGGGTAAAGTCAGGTTTTCATAGAACTCAGGCGAGCCTGCACAGCATGCTTATCCTTATTACCCCAGGTGCTTTGTCTGATAGCATTGTGTTGTCCCCACCCCCACCCCCCAGTAGCCTTTGAGTGAGGGTGAATTTAGGGAATTACAGTAGCCAGTTTGGTCCTGATCATAGCAAGTCTCCTGCACTGCAGGTCCTTGCCCAGTTTACCCTGACTCAGCTTCTGAGCTCCTCTCTTGGGTGCATGGCTCTGAAAAGTCTCTGTCTTATACCTCTTTCCCTAATTAGAGAGGGGCTTCTCTGCAAGTCAGGACTAGCATGCAGTGTAGTGCACCATGGTCATAGTTAAGGGCTGACTTGTGCCTGGGCTGTAGCTAAAATTCTTTCCTCTCACCCAGGTACATCTAGGTGCCAGGAAGAGCCCCACAGTGTCAGAGATGCCCAGATGTCCTCCACAGGAGCTTGGGACCTGCCAGGAGCACAGCAGCGCCCACTGAACATGTGTAGAGTCCTGGTGGGAAGAATCTGGCTCCTAGTCTGATGGGGTTCTTCTTCCTGTGTCTTCCCAGGGAACAGAAGGCCAAGAGAAACAGCCAGTGGGTACCTACTCTGCCCAACAGCTCCCACCATCTGGATGCTGTGCCATGTTCCACCACTATCAATAGAAATCGCATGGGCCGGGACAAGAAGAGAACCTTCCCCTTATGGTAAGCAAGGGCCACCATATCTAGCCTCTGCACAGATCCCACCTTGTTCTCTCCAATGCATTTTAGTCTCTTTACCAGAGAACCACTGTATAGTGACCCTGTGTTGCCCCAAATGCTACCCTGCCAGTACCTCAGGATGCTGCCCCCTGACTTCCATGATGTCACCCCAGCTCTCCTGGCTCCCTGCTTTGGTCTCTTACTTTTTCCTCCTCACTTCCCTAGCAACTCAATGGGGGTTCAGTCCCTAGGCCTTTCTCCTACTCTCTGTTTCACCCAATGCCCATACCTACTCTGGGAATTTGAAGTGATGTCCACATGACCCCCACTATGTCAGTTCTCTGGCTGCCTATGCAAACCACTACAAACTGGCCAACTTGGAGCAGCACAGATTTATTCTCCTAGTTCTAGACATCAGGAGTCTGAAGTAGGTTCACAGGCCAAAGTCAGTGTGGACAGAGTTGAGCTCCCTTCAGCACTCCTGGGGACATCTGGTACTCACCTCTACCAGCTCCAGGAGCTGTTGTGTTCCTTAGTTGGCAGCCACATCACTCCTGTCTGCTCTGTGGTCGTGTGGACTCTGTGTGCAAGTTCCCTCTGAATTTCTCAGAAGGGCACTGCTATTAGTTAAAGCCCAAGTGGATATTCTCTACTCAGGGTCCTGTACTTCCTGACATCTACAGTCGTCTTTTTTGGGCCACATGAAGTAATGGTCACAGGTTTGGAGGATTGGGTCATGAATGTTTTGGAGGGAAGAAACATCTTTATCTCAGGTCCAGACCACCCTAGCAACCTCTTCAAATCTTCAACCACACGTTTCCTGTACACATCTCCAACTCAAGGCCTAGCATCATCACTCCCCTAGATTAAGCCAAAAGCCTGAAACACCCAACTCCTTCCTTTTTCTCATACAAGTCTAGTCTGGGCAGATCCTACTTGCTTGGCCCTCTCAGATTCTGGAATCAAGCCACCCTTGACCACATTCCTGTCTTGTGGTGCTGGTGTGTACAACAGTCCTGCTCAGCTTCCTACTGCAATCTGCACTGCAGCTGGCCTGGGCCTCTGCCCTGAGGCAGAGCATGTCAGCCTTTGGACACTCCATCACACTTGAAGCCAAGGCTGGGGTTCTCTTGGATCTGTCTGGCCTGGTGCTGCTGCCGTTCCTCCTTCCACTTCATATACCCCGCCTCAGGAGCATCGGAGGCCTCTGGCTGCTGTCAAAACAGGTCCTCTGCTGGAGCTCACTTAGAGCAACTTCTGCAAGGCCCACCCCCTCTTCCCTCTCCTCTTCCCTCTCTCTCATTCTTTCCTTTGTCCTGCTCCTCCCTCTTTTCCCTCCTCCCATCTTTTCCTTCCCCTTCTATCTATTTGAGTCACCTCCCTCTTGAGAATAGACACCCCATTTTCTGGTTCCTGCATCTTTCCCTGTCCTGCCAGAGCAATGGATTGCCTTCTGCTTTTGTCATCTTCTCCAGGCTGCATGGGGACGCTGCTCAGCCTTTTCCAGTCCTCTGACACCGTAGATTTCCCTGCCCTTCAGCACCCTCTTCCCACCTCCATTTGCCTGCCTTGTCTCTTCCCTCCTTGTCCTCCTAAAATAGATCACTCCTCATTCAGATTGATGGAGTGCCCTCAGGGCAGGGGCCATTTGTCACTTTGACATCCGCTAGATTTGCTGAGACCTCAGAACTTCTCCCAAATGTGAGCTGAGTTCTACTTTCGTCCTCCAGCACTCTCCCTGTATGGCTCTAGTCTCCTCTTCCCTCCTTGTCCTCCTAAAATAGATCACTCCTCATTCAGATTGATGGGGTGCCCTCAGGGCAGGGGCCATTTGTCACTTTGACATCTGCTAGATTTGCTGAGACCTCAGAACTTCTTCCAAATGTGAGCTGAGTTCTACCTCCAAGCCTTTGTGCAGGTATTTCCACTTCTGAAAATGTCCTTCTCCTTCCTGACTGCTTTGGCGCTTAAACCTCCCATAGGAGCATGTCTAAGCTTCTTCTTGTTGTTTTGTTTTTATTATTATTCTTTGAGAATTTCACATGTATATAATATATTTTGACCATATTCACCTCCCTCTGCCCCCTTCCAACCCCTTCCAGATCTCCCAACTTCATGTTTTCTCTCCTCTTTTTAAGTTTTAAAATTATATTTATTTTTCTTTGTGTCTATGCATGGAAGTCAGGACAGCTTGTGGGAGTCGGTTCTTCCTTCCACAATGTACGTCCTGACAGTTGAACTCAGGTCTTCAGGATAGGCAGCAAGTGCCTTTACCTGATAATATATTTTGCCTGCCCTTTTTTTTTTAAATAACCCACTGAATCCAGTTAGTATTATAGGTATACATAAGGGTGTGGGACCATCCATTGGGGCTTGGTCAACCTACCAGGGGCCATACCTTTAAAGAAAATGGACTCTCCCTCACCTACAAGCCACCAACCACCAATACTTACTCAGCTTTGAGTGGGACCTTGTGAGCCCCTCCCCATCCATGCTAGAAAGTTGACTGACTTGATCTTGTGCAGGCAGCCACAGCTGAGTGGAGTGGCCCTTTCATGTCTAGAAAACACGTGCAGCAGTCCTCCCTGACCTCTAGCTCTTACAGTTTTTCTTGTCCCTTTCAAGATGAATCTTGTGGGAGGGGAGTAGTTTGGAGTTTTTTGAAACAGGGTCTCACTCTAGCCCAAACTGACCTCAGATACCTCAGGGAGGTTCTCCTGCCTCAGCCTCCCAAGTGCTGAGATTGCAGGCATGAGCCAGCAGAGCCAGCTAGCATGTCTGGATTGTATTCCCTGGGTAGCAGCTTCCTAACTGCATCCATGAGGTGCACAGTCCTGCTCTGTTGCAGAATTTACCATAGACAGGCTTGAGTTTGTCATTTATTGGCCCTTTATACCTCCATTAGACTGACCTTGGGACCCCTGGTGACCTCTCCTGTATTGCCTCAGTTGACAGGTGCCTAAAGACATGGATCTGTTCCCTTCCAGCCATATTTACAGGACCCACAGGGCAGAGGGAAGCTGGAAACGTACAACTCTGGGGACCCGTGGAGCTAACTGACAGCTGTTGCCATTTCACTTTCAGTTTTGATGACCATGACCCAGCTGTGATCCATGAGAATGCATCACAACCTGAGGTGCTGGTACCCATCCGACTGGATATGGAGATAGATGGGCAGAAGCTTCGGGATGCTTTTACCTGGAACATGAATGGTATGTGAGTAGTTGGCTTTGCCTGGGCCTTGTGTGCAAATGGCCCCTTTCCCACCAGCTGCCTCTCAGGTAGATTCTGGACTTGACATTCAGAGCATCATGGCATGGTTCTTAACATTACAAGCCCTGGATTCATTTAAGTTCTGCTGCTGTGCCCTGTTCCTTGTGGACTGGGCATGTGTCTTATTTTGTTTTCTGTTGGCTATGACAGACTACCCGAGACTGGGTAATTTATGAATAAAAGGGATTAATTCTAGTTCTTGGTTCTTAAGACTAGGAAGTTCAAGAACAGATCACTTGTGTTGGGGTGTCATGCCATTTCAACTCATGACAGAAAATGGAAGTGAAATGACTTAGAGACAAAATGAGGGGGGAGGACTTAATGACAGCCTACCCTTGTAACTAAAGCAGCCTTACAAGAATGGGAACTCACTCACTAGAAGACTATGTCTGCCTGCCTTCCCTTATGTATCCAGCTCAGGAAAAAGTGTGTTTCTAAAATTAGACATTGGGCACACACCTGTAAACCTAGCACTTGGGAGGTGGAGGCAGGAGGATCATGCAGTCACGTATCAGCCTGGGCCACGTTAGTGAGGCCCTGACACAGGCACGCAATATGTGAACTTCGATTCTGTCCTGTGAGTTGAGTAGCTCTAGGGGCTTGGTGTGGCAGCTGTCTATTCCAGTGATGACCAGGATGCTGCTCAGACCCCGGTCAGTCATCTGGCCCTTCCCAGAGCCCTCCTCCAGCCCTGGCTTTCATTTCATGGGGTCACATAGGTACTCTTTTTCTTCCTTACTTTGTAGATTTTTGAGACAAGATCTCACATGGTAGCTCAGATAGGCCTAGAACTCACTCCATAGTCCAGGCTGGCCTCCAGTTTATGACAGTCCTCTACCTCAGCCTCCCAAGTACCTGGTGTCAGATACTTTTTCAGTCCTAAGCAGATGCCAGTGCCTCTTGGGCTTCTGCTGTTCCTCTCTCCCTTGCTGCAGTGCAGGTAGGTTGAAGGCTCACAATCCAAGACACTTAAAATGCTTCTCTCTAGACGGGAGGATGATGTGTATATTTATTTTCTTCTTTATTTTTTCCCTAAATCTAATCTGTCAGGCTTTTAGAATCCAGGGCCTGAGGGATGCTGGGCAACTGCTCTATGACTTACCTACGTCTCCAGCCCTTCAGTCTGACTTTTTCCAGTATTCATATTTGCATTCAGACAAAAAGCAGTGCATGTCATTTGTAAACAGATAAAAGTTTAGTTGTGAGCATCTTAACAGGAATATTTTCAGTTTTCCCTTTTTTCTCTTAGTCGCTTTCATGTGTAACATTAAGACAGTTGTAACTGTAGTCCAAGTGTCAGGGTGGGAGGGGTGTTTTCACTTCCAAAAGTTTCTTAGTATCTTCCTCGTTTCTCATTTTGTTTCTCTTTTCATACAAGATCTTACTGTGTAGCCTTGACTGGCCTGATACTTCCCATGGTAGCCCAGGCTGGCCTTGAACTCATGGCAGTCCTCCAGCCTCAACTTCCTGAACGTTAGAATTAATGACATTGCCCCTGGCTTTCTCTGTTTTTGACTTTCATAATTGGTGCAGGATTTTCTATTGTGAGGAGATGTTGTGGAAATTCCTGCTGTTGAAATAATGTTACCCAGCAGGTAACATATTTGCTCGTGGCATTTTTCTCCTGAGATTTCCGTAGGAGAGTATGAGTGGTTGTTGATGTGTGGCTGCTTTAAGCTTCCTGGAAGGATTAGGCTTCTTCCTTTGGTCATCGTCAGACATCTGGTATTCTGGGCCTGAGTCCAAGAGTCTTTGTCTGGTCTTGAGAGCCAAGTGTCTTTCCTTCAGGCCAGTGGGTTAGCTGGTAAGGGTAAGAGAGAATATTGGCAGGCAGGTCCAGGACGCTGTGTTGAGGGTAGGTATAGTCACAGATGACACTCCAGTTGTGGGACAGAGTCACAGGCTGCCACTGGTACCCGCATTGCACCTTACCTTTGATGAGTTCCCTGCTGCTCTCGCTGCCTGTGTCATAGTTGTTAATTCATCTCTCCCCCTTCTCATTTTAGCTCTTGAGGTGAGGAACCCTGTTTTGTCTCTTTAAATTTTAATAGTTTCCTTCATTGTAGTTATAAAATTCAGAGTGGGTTTTCAGCATTAAATTGTGACATGTTAAATTTAAGAGACTTAAAATCATTGTATAATAAATGCCAACAAATCATCATGATTTCATACATTTAGAATAGAAATATTTCCTGTTTATGTGGAAAGACCTTCAGTATATGAATAAATAAGTTATTCCAGATTAGGTTAATATAAAAGATGATGGGACCAGGAGAGATGGCACAGTCAGTAAAATGCTTGCTGTGTAAGGATCAGGATCTGAATTCGGATGACCAGCATCCAAAATGACAGTTGGTGGCATGTTCCTGCAATCCTAGTGCTGGTGGAGACAGGAGGATCCTAGGGACTCAGTGGCCAGCCAGTCTAGCTAGTTCAGAGAGCTCCAAAAAATAAGGTGAAAAGTGATAGAGGAAGAATCTCACATTGACTTTTGGCCCCCACACATGCAGACACCTCCTCAAATAAACAAGACTAGTCCTTCCTACCTAGTCTCTTGTTTCCTGTCTTGTCATACAGTCTCTTGCATGTATTCCTAACCCTCCATCCACCATAAGCAGAAACCATGCTTTTGAGCCTCCAGAACTGAGCTAAATAAAATAAACACTTTTGCTTTATGCCTTCCCCAACTGTAGTTATTTTTATTTTATGTGTAGGAGTGTTTTGCCTGCATGTAAATGCACCCATGTTGTGCAGTGCCCGCAGAGGCCAGAAGAAGGCGTTATCTGCCTTGAGGGTACTGAGAACCAAACCTGGATCCTCTACAAGAGCAGCCAGTGCTTTTAACTGCTGAGCCATCTCTCCAGCCACAGTCCTACGGATTTTTGACAAGGGTGCAAAATGCAGTTGAATAGAGGAAAGATAACTCCATAAATAGCATGGTGCCAGGCCTATTGAATATACAAAGATAGATACACATTGACCTAAACCTCACACCTAATAAAAAATAAACTCTAAAAGCATCACAGACCTACATATAGAAAACACAAAACTATGAGACTTGTGGGGGAAAAGTATAAGAGAAAATTTTGGGTGTCTTGGGCTAACAGTTCTTCGACACCAATAGCATAGACTGGTGCTGTGTAATACACACACACACACATATAGACCCCTTCCTGAGGAGCTATAGGTGCCTAACTAATGCTTGCTGGGGGAGGAATGTCATAGTCCTCAGTGGTATGGCCACTGATAAGTTGACTTTGCACAAGTAAATAATCGTTTCCTCTGTGCTCATGAGGCATCCCTAATTAAATACAGTGTGCGGGAGAGTGGAAGATGAAAGTAGGAAGGTTACTTGTTAAGAAGGGATTTGGTGGAGGGGGAAGGGAATAAGGATAACCAGCTGGGTGTGGTGGCCTCCTTTCATCCCAGCTAGGGCAGGGGTGGGGCTCGGAGTTTGAGGCCAGCCTGGTCTACATAGGGCCTTCCAGGCCAACCAGAGCTACAAAGTGAGACCGTCTCAAAAGGAAAGAAGAGAATAATGGGAAGCAGGTATGTGATGAAAGTACGTAACGTATTTGTGTGAGGTTGTAAAAGAAATGGGATTTTTATTTTTTAATTTTTTTAACTTTTTTATTTCTTTGGTCTTTTTTGAGACAGTGTCTCCTGTATCCCCAGCTGTCCTGGAACTCACTATGTAGACCAGGCTGGCCTTGAACTCACAGAGATCCACCTGCCTCTGCCTCCTGAGTGCTGGGATCAAAGGTGTGTGTTACCATGCCTGGCTGAAATGGAATTTTTAAAACTCAAGCAAAGGATTCAGTTAGAAGAAGGGCAGAGGGTGTGAAGTTACATTTCATTGACAGTACACAGATAGCAAATAAGTATTGGAAGGTTCTGTTTTATTAGCCATTAGAGAGGAATAAAATGAAAACTCTAGTGTTATTCCACACCTATAAAAAGTAGTGACGACACCAAATGCTGGTGAGGATGGGAAAGAACTGAGTCCCTCATGCACTCCAGTGGGAATGTAAATGTCTCAGCTGCTCTGAAAAATAGTTGGGCAGTTTCTTTTCAAAGCTAAACGTGACTACTGTATAACATAGCAGTTGAACTCCAGGGTGCATGTCTCAGAGAAGTGAAAACTTCTCTTTACACTGAAACCTACACAAATGTTGATGACAGCTTTATTCATGTTATCCAGACATTAGAAACAACCTAGATCCTCTTCAGTGCGTCCATAGTTAAAATATGAACCCTTTGTGGAGTGATGATTGACAGTGAAAAGGAAGTAAAAATCTGGATGAATCTCTGGAGAATTTTTCTGACTAGGAAAAAGTTACCACCCCAGAAGTTGCATACTGTATGATTCCTTTTTTTTTTTTCTGTCTTTTTTGAGACCTCCCTGTAGCCCCAGCTGGCCTGGAACTCACTATGTAGACCATTTATTCTTAAAATGCTCAAGTGATAGAAATAGGCATTACAGGCTGGAGAGCATTGAGAGAATTAGTGGGATCCTGGTGGTAGTGGGAATGTCCTGGATCATGACTGCCCAGGGTCTTCCTGGTTCCGAGGGCATACTGGTTTTATAAAATGTGCCCACTGGAAGCATCCCTCAGGCATGGAGGAGGTGGTATTTACAGTGTGTGGGCCAGAAGCGAGGGCTGCTTATCACTTGCTTCCTCTTCTATTCCCACTGTCTGAGAGGGCCAGGTTCAGCAGCTCAGTCATCCACATTTGAATGAGGGGAGGTTCGACTGAGGAGGAAGGGTAGGAGAAGCCAGGCCAGGTGTGACCACCATGAGATGAGGTCTTGCAAGTAGGTTAGAATGTTTGCCTCTTCTGATTTCAGAGAAGCTAATGACCCCAGAGATGTTTTCAGAAATCCTTTGTGATGACTTAGATCTGAATCCACTGACATTCGTGCCAGCAATTGCCTCTGCCATCAGACAGCAGATTGAGTCCTACCCGACAGACAGCATCCTGGAGGACCAATCTGACCAGCGTGTCATCATCAAGGTAGGTGCTACTAGTACATGCAGTCCTGGCAGGGACTGTGCTGTGGAATTCTATGTGGACTATGCTGTTGGGGTTCAGTGATGTGGAATGGGGCTTCTGGGAAGGTGTCTTTCAGGAATAACCTGGCTTTGCCCTCAGAAACAGGTGGTCTGACATCTCAGAGTAGAGTGTCACATTCTGGACAGGACAGCCGATGTTGCTGTGTTACTGTCAGGTGCCAAGCCAATCCTAGAAATTCAAAGGTAAAAGAAAAGAGCTGATGGGCAGAGCAGGGAAGCCACGGTGAGGTGGGCACATTATCATAATCTTTTGAGCTGGACTGGGCCAGAAATAATTCTAAGACTCATATCTATTTGTATTCATGCTTTCAGTTCTTTGGGGTTTATATTCAGGAGTAGAATTGCTAGATCACATGACTATCCTATTTTTAGTATTTTGAGGACCTACCAAGCTTTTCCATAGCAGTTAATACCATTTTGTAGTCCCAGTAACAATGTTCAAAGCTTTCAAAAGTTATTTCTTTCCTTCCTTTTTTAAAATTTTTAAAATTTTATGTGTATGAATACTTAAACTGCATATGTGCCCATATCATACAAAGCCCATGGAGGCCAAAAGAGGATGTCTGGAACTGGAGTTACAGATGGTTATTAGCTGTCATGTAAATGCTAGAATCTAACATAGGTTCTCTGGAAGAGCAGCTAGTGCTCTTAACCACTGAGCCATCTTTCCAGTCTTTGTGTTGGTTTTTCTAATTTTTATTTTTTATTTATTTGTTTGTTTTTTTATTTTTTATTTTTCTGGGTTTTTTTGAGACAGGGTCTCCTTGTAGCCCCAGCTGACCTGGAACTCAATATGTGCACCAAACTGGCTTGAACTCACAGAGAGCTACCTGCCTCTGCCTCCTGACTAAAGGCATGTGCTACGATGTCTGGCCTCTGTTGTTTTTTTATTATTATTTTTTTAATTTTTATTTTATGTGTATGAGTGTTATGCCTGCATGTAGGTAAGTGCACCCGTGTTGTGCAATGCCTGCTGAGGACAGAAGAGGCTGTTGGATCCCCTGGAACTGGAGTTATAGTTGTTAGCTGCCATGTGGGTGCTGGGAATTGAACCCAGGTCTTCTGCAAGAACAATGTTCTTAACCGCTAAAGACTTTTATTCTCTTTATTATTAGTGTGTATCACAGTTTCTGTGTAGATAGAAGTCACAGGACAGCTTTGTAGAGTTGGTTCTTTCTTTCCACCTTTACATGGGTTTTGGGGATCAAACTCAGGTAGTTTGGCCTCTACAACAAGCACCTTTACCCATTGAGGCATCTCCCCAGCTTTAATGTGATTTTGATTTACATTCCTCTAATCATAAGTGATGTTGAATATCTTTTCATGTGCTCATTGGCTATTGTTTGCCTTTGGAGAAATGTGGTTTTGTTTTTTTGAGGCAAGGTCCCACTATATAACTCATAAGATCTCTCTGGGTAGCCCTGGCTGGCCTGGGCTTGCTATGTGGACCAAGCTGGCCTCAAACTTGCAGTGATCTTCCTTCCTGTGCTTTCTAAGTGTTGGGATTACAGTGTGTACCCAGGCCATCCCCAAAGACTTCTGGAACATGTCTGAAAGCTGTCCCATGCTCATGTATATAGTCTTGCTTTGTTTTTGAATTGGGTGTTTGGTGTTAGTGTTGATTTTCTTTTACCTGTTCTGGATATCTCTTATCAAACATGTAATTTTTCAAATATATTTTCCCCTTTTGTGGACTGCCTTTTTGCCTATTGATTGTGTGCTTGCCACCCCACTCCTACTAGGAATCTGAGCCAAGACTTTGTGTTTGTCACACAAGTGCTCTGCTACTAGCTATAGTCCCACCTGGGAGTGTCCTTTAACCACAAGTTAGTTTAACTTAATTAGTTGTTTTTCACTTGCATTGCCGGTGAACCAAGCCCTCCTGTGCATGCTGGGCAAGAGCTATAACACAAGCTATAATCCTAGCCTCATATTCAAGAGTCATTGTCACGCCCAGTGTCATGAAGATTTTCTTCTATATATTCTTTTAATGGTTGTATAATATTAGCTGTCTTTCATCTGTTATTTTGTTGATCTGCCTCTAAGGACCACACTATTTGGATTATTGTAGCTTTGTGGTAATTTTGATGTTAGGAAAAAAGAGTCTTCCAGTATCATTCTTCTTGGTGTTCCTCAGGCACTGTCTACCTATTAAAAAAATTTTATTTTTATTTTATGCGCGTATTATGCCTGCATGTGTGTAAGTGCACCTGTATTGTACAAAACCCATAGAGGCCAGAGAGGGTTTCAGATTGTGGAACTAGAGTTACAGATGGTCATTAGCAGCCATCTAAGTGCTGGGAACTGAACCCAGGTCCTCTGCAAGAACAGCCAGTGCTTTTAACCAAAGAGCCGTCTCTCCAGCCCCGAGGTCTATCTTTTTTGAGATAGGCTTTCTCATTGGCCTAGAGCTTCCCAAGAAGTTAGACTGACTAGCCATCAAATCCCAGGATTACCTGTCTCTACCTTCCCTGTGTTAGAATTACAAGCACAGGCACCATAGCTGGCATTTTGTTTAATGTGAGTTCTGGGCTCATACTTGGATCCTTTTGCTTGTAAGGCAAGCACCTTACCAGCTGAGCCATCTCTTTGGCCCTTTAGTTTTTGGGGTTTTTGTTGTTATTTAACATTTATCTGCGTGTGTCTGTGTGTGTGTGTGTGTGTCTGTGTGTGTGTGTGTGCGTGCAAATGCATGTACACACATGTTTCACAGCATATGTGTGGAGATCAGAGGATAATTTGTGGGAATCAATCAGTTCTATCTTTCCACCACGTGAGTCCCAGGGATCAAACTCAGGTTTTCAGGCTTAGCCATCAGTGCCTTTACCTGCTGAGCCATCTTGCTGGCCCTGGAGATTTTTGTTGTTTTCTCTTCAACTCTGTGAATTTTATGATGGATTTTGTTCTATGTCTGCAACAAAACAAAACTTGCCATTTTAATAAGGATTGCATTGAATTGTAAGCCATTTGGGGTAACATAGATGTTTTAATATCAGTTCTTCCAGATCACGAACTTGGGATAATCTTTTTTTTAATATTTTATTATTTTTAATTTATGTGTTTGAGTGTGTTGCCTGCATGTATGTGAGTGCACCCATGTCGTGCAGTGCTGCGGAGGTCAGAAGAAGGTGTCAGATCACCTGGAACAGGAGTTATAGACAGTTGTTAGACACACCGTGTGGGTGCTGGGATTCGTACTTGGGTCCTCTGCAAGAGTAGCCAGTGCTCTTAACTGCTGAGCCATCTCTCTGGCCCTGGGATAATCTTTTTTAGTTATGGCTTCTTTCATTTCTTCCAGCAGTGTTGAGTAGTTTTCAGTGTGCAAGTCTTTTAACTTCTTGGTTAAGCTTATTTCTATGTTTTTTATTCTTATTGATGCTTTTTAAAGTTGTTTTAAAATTTCCTTTTCAGGCATTTATTGTTAGCATAACTATTGGTGCAGCTGAATTTGTATATTGATTATGTATCCTCCTACTTTTTTTCCTGTGTGTATTTGTGTTTGCATCCATGTAGAGGCTCAAGCTTGATGTTGGGAGTCTTAATTGAACACACTCCACCTTATTCATTGAGACAGAGTCTCTCAGTTTAACCCAGGGCTTACAGATGTGGCCAGTCTGGTCAGCCAGCTTGCTCTGGGGATCTCCTCTCTTTTCCTTCTGAGTACTGAAATTACAGGTGAAACACCACACCCACCAGGATATTCCATGAGTTCTTGGTGTCTGAACCTGGTCCTCATGCTTGTGGGGCAAGCACTTTAACTACTGAGCTATCTCCCCAGGTCCCTACTTTGCTGAATTCACCTATTAGTCTTTCTTTTTTTAATGGTATCGTTAAGGTTTTCCACATACAAGGTCATATCACCTCTAAACAGATAACTTTTTTCATCACAGTTGGATACCTTTTATTTATTTATTTTTGTCTAGAATTCCCTCTACTGAGTTGAGTAGAAATGGTGACAGCAGAAATATTTATTAGTGGAAATTTTCAGGGCTGAAGAGACAGCTCAGTGATTAAGAGCACTGGCTGCTGTCCAGAGGACCCAGGTTGGGTTCCCAGCACCCTTGTGGTAGCTAACAGCCATTCATTAACTCCAGTTCCAAGCCATCTCAGTCCCTCTTTTGACCACCATAGACATTGCACAGACGTGGTACACTTACATACATGCAGGCAAACCACTCATACATTTAAAATAAAAATAAATTAAAATTTTTTCAGTCTTTTACTACTAGCTGTGATAGTAACCATGGGTTCATGTATAGTTTTTATTATACTGAGGTAGTTTCCTTCAATTCCCAGTTTATCAAGTTTATTTCTTTATTTTTCTTTTTTCTTTT